ATGAGAAGGTGTCTGCTGCTTCTGGGAAGAAGGAAGAGGCCTCGGAGAAGAAGAAGGAAGCTCCAAAGAAGGACGCCACAATTCTTAAGACCAAGAAGGAAGTGAAACCAGAACAAAAGAAAGACAACAAGAAGGACGGTAGAACCGAGGAGAAGAAACCGGCAAAGTTACCAGTTAAAGAAGTAAAGAGAACCAGTGGAACCACTTCCTTAACCGGAGCTACTGACCAAAGAAAAGCTACGTGTAAAACCGGCAGTGGGAAGAAGGGTGGGACCCTTCCAAAGAAAGATGCCTTCAACAAGGAAACGAGAGGAAAGTCGGGATCCCAGGAAAACCAGAAGACATTAACAGCCGAGGACACGACGGTGGAGTTTAACAAACTGGAGGATGCCAACGGGAACCGGGGCCCAAAGACTGCAGGGGCATCCGAGGACACTTCCCTCAATGGGAACCAGATCTCCACCACGGAGAGTCCAGAGAAGTTCCGCTCTGTTGAGACTGATTCTGTTGGCGCCACCTCACGCATCACCAGAACACCAAAAGGTGACCTCAGCGTGAACTTTGACCTCAGTCCAGCAATGTTCCAGGTTGCAGAGGGTTCTCCCAGAGTCCAGGAAGAGAAGACCCTGGAGCCGTTTTCTCCGGCAGACTCTGCTCCGACCAGTGCCGGACACACTCCCTTCCACCCGTCCCCTGAAGACACGCCGGGTCTCAGGAGCCCGGGTGCCCGGGGATCCAGTCTGGGCTTTGAAGACTACAACCAGGGCGGGTCATGCAGAACCTCGGAGGTCAGCTCCCTGCCGGAAGGTGTGGAGAACTCCACATCGTCTCAGGATAAATGCTCCAGCCTCCTGAGTCCGGCCAGGGACTCCTCCCAAACCATGACGTCCATGCCGGCAGAGGTTGGCTCCCCTCACTCCACCGAGGTTGATTGTTCCCTCTCGGTCTCCTCAGAGCCGGTTCCCTCTGTCGGCACCTCAGACTGCACCAACACGGTTCTTCCTGGCGGGCCCACCCAGAACGGACGCTGTGGTTCCAGGGAGAATGTCCGCGGGGTGTCGGGACTCCCCTCCGAGGTTCCCCACGATGTTGACCTCTGCCTGGTGTCCCCCTGTGAGTTCCAGCACCACCCGACTTCCGGTGCCTCATCAGACCTATCCGACAATGACCCCTCCCCTCTCACCTCGGCCTGCAGCCAGGAGACCCCACCCACTTCGGTCAGTGATACTCTGCCGACTGCCACGGACTCCGACATGCCCCCCAGCACCGAGGAGTGTTCCTCCATCACCGCTGACCTGGACTCTGATGAAGACTCTGGCTTCCTCCGTCAGGCCAGTGATCTTCCCGGTCAGCGCTTCCTGCGGCGGACGGGACTTGACCCACCACCAGCACCGGTTAAAGACCTGCCCCCTCTGCCGCTGCAGCGTGGCGCCTGCATGGCCGACTCTGAGGCTGACCGTGCCCTTAAGGCGTCCGGCGCCAGAAAGAAGCCTCTGCAGAGAACCACATCAGGAAGCAGCCGGTCCAAAGCCGGTTTCCCCGGCTCCCTGAGGACCGGCCTCGACTCAAAGCCTTCGTCACGGAGTTTGCCTGGTGGATCCAAGGTCATGTCTTCAAGACTGTCAGGTAGATGAAGTCCTGAGAGTCTTTAGATGGTTTCAGCCTGATCTCTGGACAAACCAGAACCAAACAAAAAGTCAGTTTCTTATTGGAGCCTTTAGCCTCCAATCAGAAAGTCTGTTTCTTCTTTCGGTTATGTTCCTGCAGGAAACAGGAATTTATCCTCAGCTTCCATGTTCATGTTTTCAGTTTAGTCCCTATTTAAATCACACGTGATGAATGTTATGACTTCTGGTAATGTTTGGATTTGCTAATATTTATCTGGATGTCAACTAATTTCTCCTTTGGGATCAATAATGTAGAATCTGATTCTCACTCTGCAATCTGGTGGTTTAGAAAATCCCTTTGGCTCCCTCTGCTGGTCTCTGACTGACACATCCTCACCTGCTCCATCTCACCTGTTGACCAAAATACTGCTTCCTCTGAAACAACCCTCTTTGTTCGGTTCATGCCAGGTTCTGCTGGTCCTGAAGGTCCTGTGGTTTATGTGGACCTGGCTTACCTGCCATCTGGTTCCGCCTCCTCCACCATCGACCACGGCCTGTTCAAACGTCTACGTGCTTCGTATTACATCATCAGCGGCGACAACCCCGCGAAGGAGGCGGCGATGAGGAGGATCCTAGACGGCCTGCTGGCGGGGAAGAGCACCTGGCCCGACGATCCGGTGGGTGGCGCCATCCCGAACTTCCTCTCCTCCAGATTGGACCTGCCCTCTGATCCGTTTGTCCCCCCTCACTTTCAGGTGACCCTCATCCCCACCTTTGACTCGCTGGCCATGCATGAGTGGTACCAGGAGACGCACGAGCGGCAGCAGCAGCTGGCGGTGACGGTGCTGGGCAGCAACAGCACCGTCGCCATGCAGGACGAGACCTTCCCCGCCTGCAAGGTGGAGTTCTGAGCCAGGCTCCGCCCACCTCCTGGCAGGACGCAGCCGCTGTACCTTCTGAGCATGCTCAGTTAGAAACGTTTGCTCCCTACTTTCTTCACCTGTGTGACATCATGGTCCCCCTCACACCCACCCCCACTGGATCAGAACCAGCAGCTAGAACCCGTCCTGTGGATCAGAACATGGATGGTTGAGCCGTTTTGACTAAAACAGTTTGGATTATGATTAGCATTAAACGCTACGATTAGCCCGCCGCTCAGTGTCAGCATCATGTTAAAATCTTGTTCCCTGATGAAATCAGACATCGACATAATCACCATGTAGCCGCACCGTTTCCACGGCAACGCCACTAAAGCTACAAAACGCTACATTTATCACACACCCCACGTTCACCGCAGGAGCAGAGGTGAAACATCGAAATGAAACATTATAAAACACAGTAAAGAATCATCGACCAAATCATTGTAACAAAATATAATAATTTTAAAAAAAAACCTGACGCATTAAAATGAAACGCTGTAAAGAAATGTAGACGGGAAGAAAACCCAACTGGATAGCCATGCTAATGCTAAAGCTAATGCTAAGCTAGCGACTATTCGTCATAGTGAAGAGCAGAACTTTTTATGAAGTGTAAGCCAATAAGCTGCTGCGCTGAGCCAGCTCTGCTAGTTCTGCATGTTCCAATGCCAACACTGATATCAACAGCCACGCTGGTTCTGCTATGGTTCTGGTTCCGACCGACCCAGTCGATCCCTAGGTCTTCATCTGCTGATGAACTGGGACTCTGCTTCTGACTCGCCAACTGCTGAACAGAACCCAGTAATCATGGTTGTGCTGCGGTTCTGAAAGTCTCAGGTTCTGTTAGCGGTTCTGTTCCTCCTGAAGGTTCTAACCCGGTAGGCGGTTGAACTGTTTTCTGGTCGGTTCTGATGCCTCCCCAGGTTCCGTCCACGCTGCCTCCGGCTGCAGCAGCAGTGCATCCTGGGAGCTGTAGTCAGTGTTTCTGCCTGTTTTAGTGAATCCTGACTGAATTCACCTATTTATTTAATTTAACTGTGATGTCACAAAGTGTCCTTTAGGGCGGCGCCGTCCGTCCGGGCCGCTCGCCGCCTCTTAAAGCTGCAGACTGTTTTTATGCTCTTGATGGAACCAGAACCTGCTAATGTGGTTCTGGAGTGCCGTTGGATCCTTTAACCCCGCCCCCTCACCTGTCTGCTTCCTGGAACACTAAGGATGACCTTTCAGAATAAAAGTAGCTGTTGAACAGAATCTGTGTGGACTTTTATTTTGAAAGAGTGGCGTTTCAGAAAGTTTGATTTCCATCGGATCGTCGGATGCCCAGCAGAACCAGACAGAGCGCCGGGTACCTGGCCAGGTGAGTAGAACCAGAAGTGCTCTGGTATCGTCTGATCGGGTCCAGAGCGGTTCTGGTTCTAGTCTGTGATGAGTTCTGGCCGGGTCTCAGACCCTCAAAAGAGATGGAAGAACTGGTTCTGATCCGTTCAGAATGTTTCTCTTTCAGCCAGTAATCAGTTCATCGTGGTTTGGGCGGTTTGGGCTTTCTGCAGCAGGTTCTTCAGCTGCTGGTCGGTTCTGGTCCGAACCCAGTTAAACAGGAAGTCAATCAGAGAATGACAAACAGCTTCAGTTACTTTTATATTTTATAATTATTTGAAAACATCCAGCTTTAAAGAATTATTAGATTCATTTTTTCTTAGTCTCTCTGAGGCCCCCTGGTGGCTCCCAGCGGAAACCACTGGTAACCTCTGCCCTCCTGATCCTGGGTCTGGTCCTCTAAACTTTGACCCCACAGTCAGAGCTGCTCCTTCCGAAAGATGAACAGAACCTTGTGGAGGTTCTGGATCAGGATGATCTCCGGTTCTGGGTCCAGTCGGAACCGCTCCGTCATGGCGGAACCCTGAAGCCCCGCCCCGTATACGCCCCTTCCGGTGGGCGGGGCCTGTTTTGACTCGGCTGGTTCTGCTGCAGTGGTGAGTCAATCTTCATCTCTCCTCCACTTCTTCTTCTACTTCTTCTTCTTCTGTTGTTTTAAAATATTTTTACTTTGATTTATTTCGGATTAATTGCGCCCGTGCGTCTATACGTGCATGCGCTGTGACGTCATTGTGCGGCACCGGACTTTGCAGCAGAACCGATCCCGGTCCGGTTCGAGGCGGGTCGGAACCGAGCGTCACTCCGGGCCAGGATTTACTTTTCGAGCGGAATGATCCGATCAGGGATCAATGAGCTGCAGCTGGTATCAGTTATTGATCAGTTTACTGACATTGATGTGACGCATCAAGGTGGACACCTGCAGGCAGCACGACTTCCGGTGAGGTTTTCAAAACAAAAGCGGAGGGGGTTGTAGGCCCTCCACCCCCCTCCGCTCCACCACAGCTGGTGTTCCACAGGCCCAGCGGCTCTCTGAGGTCATCTCACCTGGAGGTCAAAGTTCATCGCGAGCTCAGCTGCAGGAACATCAGCAGAGGTTCTGATCCGACCTCCTGCAGCCTCAAATGGGTCAGATGAGGTTCTGGAGTCCAGCAGAACCTCTCTGGTGCTGTTCTGACTCTTATTTTGAAAGGATCTTCCTGTTTCCTGATGGGTGGGGCGGAGCTTCCGGTCAGAACCAGAGCAGGCCAATTTTGACCCTCTGGCTGTGGTTCTGGTCCTGAACATCCAAGTAAAAAACTGTTAGTTTCTCTTGATCCGAACAATCAGAACCGGATCGGTTCTGATTGCTGTGAGGACTCAGAACCTGAACCTGAACTTTAGGTTTACCATCAGACCCAAGTGTGACCCAACTCTTTTTGTGTTTCAGCGCCATGGAGGCTCATCAGAACCGTCTGCAGCAGCTGGCGGTGAGTTCTGAACAGAACCGACCCAAAAGAACTAGAACTGGTCCTCACTGCGAACCAGTCCGCTCATCAATTAAGCTGATTGAAAACCAAACAGACTTCAATCAGAACCGGTCGGTACCCGACCCGGTCGGAGGTCAGGCTCTTTGAAGGTTCCGTAGAACCGGACCGGGTTTACCTTGGTTCTCAGGAGAAATGGGCTGGTTCTCTGCCTCCAGCGGTTGGGTCCGATTGATGCTGGTATTGATCCGGTATGGATGCAGTCCGGGAAGATTCTGCATTCAAACCGGGCCAGCTTTATTCAGAACCACTCAGAGACAAATGCACTGGCAGTTGGCCAGCACTGCCAGTGCCTCCACCCTTTCAAAATTACAGCCTCAGATACACACAACCTCTGACATCAGGGCACTGACAAGTTGTGAGAAGTTCTGGTTCTGGTTCTGGTTCACTGAGGCCAAACTAACTCAGTCTCCCATCATACCTCAGGAAAACAGGAAGTGGCAGACGGAGATGGAGAATAAGCGGCGCCAGCTGGAGGATGAACGGAGAGCTCTGCAGCACCTGAAGGTCGGTTCTACTGGTAACCATGGCAACTCACCAGATGTCTGCAGGCTTTGATTGGCCAAGGTCAAAGGTCAAAGGTCAAATTATTTTTAAGTAAAAAAAGTCCATTTGAGTGCAAGTCTTAACCCTTCTTTCAAACATCGGATTGTGGCTATGTCTGAGTGGGCGTGGCCTAAATGGAGCTGGTGTTCATTCTGTTGTTCAAAACAAACATGGCTGCCAAGTCAGTCTGGGTAAGAGTACCAGCAGCTGGTACCATTTGCTGGTACCAACAGACGGCACCAGCAGACGGTACCAACAACAGAGCCATGTTGTCTGTTGTCACCTGAAGGTGTCGCTGTGTCTGTCTCTTCAGTCAAAGGTTCTGAGGGAGCGCTGGCTGCTGGAAGGACCCGCTGGACCGGACCAGAACCAGGACCCAGACCAGGTCCTGAGTCAGCTGGAGGAGGACGAGGCCAGAACCAGAACCCTGGAAGAGTCCATCAGGAGGTCTGATCTGGTTTCACAGCGACTTTACTAGTCCTTCATTATACTACGTTAATTTGTGAGTTTATTGATTGGTTTGTTTATTTTCGTTAATTTCTGTTTATTTTTGTTTATTTCTGTTTATTTTTGCTTTTTGCCTGCAGGTTGGAGCAGGAAGTTTCTAGTCTAGAAACTGGACTTGTCTCTCAGACCATAACACACTCTGTTGTGAGTAACTACGCTTGCTCAATCTCACTGGGATTGTTTTATTTTGAAATGTCTCAGCTGTTTCATGTGTGTTTGAAACTTCCTGTCTCTGTTTGTGCCTCCAGGTGATGTCAACACCTGACCCAGGTAACTACTTATTCTCTGCTTCTTGCTGTGTTGCTTCTACATCTAATTCATGTCTCTGATCAGCTGTTGAGGTCAAAGGTCACAGCAGAATGGAGCAGGGTGGAGCTAAGCCGTCAGGTCAGGTGATCCAAGGTGGGAACGGTTACACCAATCAGGATACAGTAATCAGATTGCAGTAAAGAATGATGACATCACATTCTGTCTCTGTCTTCCCCATTTGTCCCATGAGACCATGCAGAGGTCAAAGTTCAAAAAAGTGTTAAAGTCAGTAAACCAAGAGAAGCCCGGGGTGAGATGAAGAAAGGTGAGTCAGATGTCCAGCATGTAAACTACACCTGAACAGGCCAGCAGGTGATCTACACCCTAATAACGTGTTAACTACAAGTTTATTACATGTCAACTACACATTTATAACTTGTTAACTACCGGTTAAGATGTTACAGGTTTTACAATGGCAAACCAACAGGTGACCTCACATTAGCATGGCTTTTCAGGATTAAAACGTGCTCACTACAGCTCTGCAGTGTGTTAACTATATGTTTATAACATGGTAACAGATTTACAAAGTGTTAACGGCATAGCATGTTAGTTACAGAATTATTACTAGTGTTGTGCTATGATGACCATAGTTTTAATGTCTTTACAGGTTTACAATATGATAACTACAAGTGTTGTGTTAACTACAGGTTTATAACATGATAAATAGTTGCATTAACATATTACGTACAGCTTTATGGACCTGCTAACAGATTTGTAGCCATAGCCACCATTAGCTTTCTGTCAATATGTTGTAATTCAGTTCCAGTTTAGAAATGCATACCAGGTGATCCAGACTGCTGGTTCAGGAGGTCAGAGGTCAGGGTGGTGCTGACATCATGAGTTCTTGGTTAGCATCTTTCTCTAACAGCTCTTTGTTTCTGTGCTAACTCTTGTTTCATGCTGTACCTCCTTCACACTGTTAACCATGTGCATCCTCTCTGACTGCTTCCTGTCCTCCACTTCCTGTCCTCCAGCCATGTACTCAGTGGAGATTAAAGTAGAGCGGGACAGAGTGACGGGGGAAACCAGAGTTCTTTCCACTAACACCAAACTTCCTGTTGACCTCTCTGATCAAGGGGTCAAAGTTTATGAAGATGAACAGAAAGGTGAGATTTAACAGAAAGCTGAGGGTGCTTTAGGAGAAGAGACAAGGGGCCTGAGGAAGAGGAGGAGGAAGATGGCTTCAGATTTAACATGAAAACTTCTGGTTGTTATGACTCTATGTCCTTCTCCTAAAGTTGCTGCTGGCATCACAATGATGCAGCTGAGCAACAATCTGTTCTGCAGCTGAGGGCAGCGCTGCAGTGGTGCATGGCGTGATGTCATCCAGTGCTGCATTGCTATTGGTCCTTCAGCAGCAGGTGTGTCTAGTGTCCCTCTAATGTCCCCGTCCCATTCCTGTCCCCGTCTCTGTCCCGTCCCCGTTGTTCCTGTCCCGTCCCTGTCCTCATCGTCCCCGTCTCTGTCCCGTCCCATCCCGTCCCGTCCCTGTCCTCATCGTCCCCGTCTCTCTCCCGTCCCGTCCCTGTCCCTGTCCCCATCCCTGTCCCCAGTGGTCCATGAGATGAACGGGGACGATGCTCACCTGCTCAGCTCCGTTGAGGTGGAGGAGCTAATTCACAAAGCTGATGAGGCCTCGGTGATGTCACACTCCGTCACCACGGCAACCTCCCTGCCAACAGGAGAAGTCCTGAGGGAGTCGGGCCTTCCGCCAGAACCAGAACCAGGGTCCACATGGACCCCCAGCCATGCCCTGGCTGCCACCACAGAGATCACGGGGCTGGAGGCGGTGGCCGGCGGGGAGCCAGAGGTGGCGGAGGCCAGCGCTGAGAACCCGGTTACCATGGTGTTCATGGGATACCAGGAGGTGGAGGACGAGGACCAGACCAGGAAGGTTCTGGGGCTGCAGGGCACGGTGAAGGCAGAGCTAGTGCTCATCGATGACGGAGATGGAAAGGTAGATCCACCTGCCTCTGCTGCCCCGCCCTCTGCTGCCCCATCCTCTGCTGCCCCGCCCACACCGACCAAAGCTCCAGAAACGGTGATGGCAAGCAACGGAGAGGCGGCGGTGGAGGGAAGGGCGGTAGCAGGGAAGAAGAAGCAGCCGTGTAAATGCTGCAGCATCATGTGACTGAGACTGAACTAACGCCGCCCACTCCACCTTTCCCTTTAACATGACATCACTTCCTGTTTTCTGCTGTCACTTCAACACACCTGCTGTTTCCTGCTGAGAACACTTAAGTACATTAGCATTAGCATGTTAGCATTCCACTCTCCAGGTGTGTTCACATGTATGCCTGTCTGTTTTCTAAAAGAGGAAATAAACTGGAGTAACCGTGAAGCAGTGTGTGTGTGTGTGAGTTGTTGACTGGTGATACTGGTGATACTGGGGTTCCAGCTACTCCCAGCCTTGGTGGCTCTCAGATTGTTTCTCATTTTCTGGGTTTTTTCTCTCTGATGGCCCGGTTGGGTGTTCTGGCCATCAGAACACCCAACCTCACAGCAGAACCAAAGCCAGAACCGGGTAGAGTACTGCCTCAGTTAGCGGACCCAGACTGTGACTCCATCAGAACCCGTGGCTCCATGCAGACCGGCCGGCAGTGCCATCAGCTCTTCCTGTTTCTCTTCTTCTACAGAACCTGTAGGTGGGCACCAGCGCCTGGGACCTGCTGTCACCATGGTAACCACCAGGCGGAGGCCACCCTGGAGGTCATCTGTCACGATGAAGGTCTCCCTGCTGCACCCTCTTCACCTTCTTCTTCTCTTCCATTGATTTTTTTTTCTCTGACCTTTGACCTCTTGCTGTCTTTTCTGGATTCTCTCTTATCCTCTGAACTGTAAGTCATGGATCTTGTCAGCTGCTTTCTGAACGTAATGGATCCAGTTTATTCTGATCAGACTGGTCAAAGAAGAGCCATGGGTCCCCCAATGGGGCCCATTGTGACCCCAATGGGGCCTGTGCAGCTGAAAACAGCTTAGATTCGGGACCATTGCACTCCAGAAGTGAAGGGAGCACTTCCTGTATGTAACAGTCACCGTTTCTATTTTCTCTTTAAATCTGTGATACATCTTCATCTTTAGGAAGGAGTTTCACTCTCAGCATGCATTTGATCTTCTGTCTTTTATTTACTTCAGCTCAGCTCACAGTTCTTAAATTCTGTATCTTCTAAATCTGCTCCCTAGTTGCATCTTTTCGGGTCTACTACTACCTCTAGTGGTGTGAGTTGGTAACACAACTGATATCACTAAGTCAGAATACAACAAAGTCTTTATTATTAATTCTGGCATTAATAATATGGCACCATAGAAGATACATTCTCTAATAAAACAACATAATATTAAAATTTTCTTAAGGATGTAGCCTAACCCAACTTCTCATTAATGCAAATGCAGAACCATCCAATCACATGGTAGCATCTCAAATGCATTTAGGCATGTAGACATGGTCAAGACGATCTGCTGCAGTTCAAACCAAGCATCACTCAAATAACCACTCGTTACAACCGAGGTGTGCAGAAGAGCATCTCTAAACGCACAACACGTCGAACCTTGAGGCAGATGGGCTACAGCAGCAGATGACCACACCGGCTGTCAGCTAAGAACAGGAAACTGAGGCTACAATTCACACAATCGTCAACAAAACTGGATAATAGAAAATTGGAAAAACGTTACCAGATGAGCGGTTCCGGCCCAAGCCTCCATGGGGCCCTAAGCGAAATGTGGTTTTGGGGCCCTCTAGTTCTGCTGCCAACGTGGACTGGCTGCAATCAGCAGTTCCATCATTAGATCATTCACACACCTGCTATAAACTGATTGCATCTCTAGCAGTGCTGTTTACACTATTTACATGATCAAAAGCCTTAGTGGAGTCTAAAATACCGTAGAATTTTTGCTATTATAATTATTCAGTAACTCTTTTAGGCCATACATACACAAATCAGTACCATGCTTGGACTTGAACCCAAATGATTGTCTGTAGACATTACTGTCTTAGCAAATTTTGGCAAAAGAATTAGTTCAAAGACTTTAGATCGTGTACTTGCTAATGCAATAGGTCTATAATTATCAGAGCTGCCAATTTTTCCAGCTTTGTTTTTAATCACTGGAGATAAGAATAACATTCATCAAGGTATTGGGAATAAAACCATGCATAATAAAACCGGTGAAACACGGGGCAAGAAGAGGGGCTACCCTCGAACGTGCAAACTTGAGATGTTCAGCTGAAATAAGATCTGTTCCTATAGATTTATTTACGGACAGATATTTAATTGCCTGATAGACCTCGTGTGTTTTGATAGTTTCTACAGTGGTAATGTAACATAGTTAAAATGGTTCAGGTTAAATCCTGCTAAAATCTGCTGGTAAAAAGTTGTATTGCATTCACCCTAGAAAGAGCGGGGTATTATGGGTAATCCTCAGAGCCATGAGGATCACTGACGATGTAACGTGTCTCTGCTATGTGATAAAGAAATATTATTTATGCATTTTGTGAAGTGTGTTTGTGGTTTTTGTTTTTGTATATTGTTTAAATATGTTCGGTCTGGGTCACGCTAGTTCTGTTATGTCGTTTTTGTTGTGTTTGAGAATGTTTAGTTCCTGGGAAAGTGCAGTGGGAATTTCCCACGTGATAACATTATGGCTCCTCCTTGCAGGAGCTGGTTTACCCCAGACTGACTTTACCTCCATGCCCGTTGTGTGAAATGCAGGTAGGTTTTACCAAATCTCCTGTAGCAGATGGTTAGCATCAGACTGAGTTTTATATTAACAGTTTTATATAATGATATGGTTCATTTATGTTTCTGCATTGTTCTAAAATGCAATGTTATACAAACTAAAATATAAAAATGGCATCCAGTAAGTAAAATGTCAGCATTTTATTTTATTTTTCAGAACATTTTAATTAGTTACTTTATTTTCTCTGAAAAAGAGACTCACTGGTTGTTCTTTTATTGTAAAACAAAATCCACTATGCGATCACTGTAATTTTAAATTATTTTATTGTGGTTACTGTATTATGGGTAATCCTCAGAGCCATGAGGATCACCGACGAGGAGCTGGTTTTATCCCAGACTGACCTCACCTCCATGCCCGTTGTGTGAAATGCAGATGGAGAATTAAAGAAACAGCTGATTCCAACTTGAGCAGCTCCTTGTCATTCATTGCCAATGATAGAAGCCACCAGAACCACATGGGCCACACTAACCTGGTCAGCCTGGAAGGGTTCACTCTGAACACAGGTGAATAGCTTGCTGTAATGGTGTTGCCAAAAATCTACAATCATATTCGCCCCTGAAGTGCCATCGACAGTGCAAGGGAGAGAGGATTTACTATTACTGATAGTTTTAACCTCTTTCCAAAAGTCTCTAGTGTCTTTACCTATAAGCTTTCTTGCCAAGGAATCAGCCCTCATGGTTTGCTCATTCTGTCTAATGAAGCGTAGTGCATATTTGTATTTTGCATTACATAACTTTTTCTGTTCAAATATAGGACCCTGCCTAGGTTTACCTGCTAGAGCCCAAGAAGTAGTAGCTTCACGGGTTTCGCTGTGGTATTTAGACACATATGTGTTCCAACCTGGTCTATTTTTAATCTTCATACTACCTTTATTATAAGGCACGCTAGCTCCCAATAACGCTTCCATTATGTCAGAATAAAATTCAATTATATTGGTTCTATTTCAATATCAGAGCAGTTACAGTCTATACAATTAACTGCCTCTCTTAGTAGTTTAATGGCACATAACAATTGATCAGTTTGGGCATAGTAATGAGCTATTTGTTCAGTAGATAAAGAAGACCAGTCTATACGTGTCTGATTATGATTGCTGTTTGCATATACAGTTGCGGGTATATGATCAAATCTAATGGACACCTCGAAGGGGATGTGATCAACAGTGGACACATTGTATAAGATATTAATGTAAAATAAAGCAGCATGAGCATCTGCTGTAGTGATACAGTGGTCCAACCAAGGCGTATTATGCCAGGCTTCACTTATATAGGTGTAACTTGCAGCTGGCAAAAGTTCTTTACTTGACAATATTAGATTAGAATTTGTACAAAAATGATTCAGGTGTTTAGAAAACAGCGAATTTTTATTTGATATTACTGCATTCATGTCACCCATAACATAAATACTTTTTGACTTCTCATTTTGCATAAAAGAACTAATGTAAGCAAGTTTACTAAGGTATTCTTCATTATGATGACATTCATGTGGAGTATAGACATTTAAAATAATAAATTCTTTGTCATGCTGTTTCACGTGTACTGCAATACACCAGTCCACACCTAATCTAATGACATGTATCACCGAGTCCAGGCTTTTTTTCCATAATATAACCACTCCTCCTGGTACCCTTCCTCTTTTAATTCCCAAACTGAGGTCAGTAGAAGATTCTCCAGCACCCAGGAAACTGTCATTAATAGAGTTTAGTCCTTTTAAATCCTGTTTGGGTAAAAAAAAGTTTCTTGCAAGCACAAGATGTCACAGTGCAGCAACAACTGGTCGACAACCAAATGTCGAGCTTTATCATCGGCACTCTGCCCTAAGCGCAGCCCACGACAGTTGTAAGAGATTACTTTAATGTCCATAATATTTATGACAATGTCAAACATTGAGAAGTTTTAATTGTTATCAAACGCTATCAAACTCGGCATTTTGAAGCCAAAAATACCTCAGAAATATACAGAGTCATCATCAGAATCAACTCATTTAAAGTTAAAACTCAGTTTCACACAAACACAAAGGCCCTAGCATAAATGTTTGGCTGTTGAACTGGACCGTTCCAGCTCGCTATCAAGCTAATTTTATATTTTCATATCCGTTTATTTACGTTTGTCGCGTTTTGATCAGGAAATGACAAAGCCACCTAAGCCACCTAATTTTTTTACAAACATCTGCGTTAAGGACCCCATTTGATTGTCACTTGTTAATCTTCATGCTGCTCGTTCTGTTTTTAATTTTATTTTCCTTCGTCAACAGCTTGCAAACTGTTTCCCAGTAGAGAACACAAGGACAAATACTGTAGATACGGCTCATAATCTGTTGGTGGTATCTGACAGTAATGTAGGAACGTTTATTATAATTTCGGCTTGTCAGTTTGGATTTCACCACCAACATTAGCTGTTAATTTTATATCATTTAGATGAGATTTTATTACAGTACAACTTATCGACATTACTTGATATTCCTTTCTATTTGGACACGTAAACACCACAAGCAACACCATCAGGTATGCGAGTTAAATTTTATTAAATATGATGACCACCTCATTGTTTAGCGACACTTGCTGTGGGTAGAAAGTGTCGCTAAACAATACAACACTTACTATTTACCTTTTGCTTACCTGTAATGTAAGCAACTTGCATAACAGGTACTTAAGAGTCAATTCCAATGTTTTTCTGATCAGTGCTGGTTACAAAAAGCAGAAAATATCTATTTAGGTTTACATTGCGGCTATTCATGAGTTGGAATTAATGTATTCTGGTGAACCTGAATGCGAATGGGATTGTGTTACTCATTGATCTGGTTATGCTCAAATGCGGTGTTTTCGAAGTGCAGTGCATGCTGTTCTTTAGAAAATAGTTTTGAAACATAAATTTCAGATGTAACATTAAACATATTTGCATCAAATGGGATTTATAGTCAAGTTTTGGAAACGTTTTTTTCACGCAAGTAGCATTTTTCAACAGGCATCGACACAGCCACCTACAATTTAGAAACATCTGTGGTGCGCATAGGTTTCAACCAGTTAATTTAGCCACCAGTTGATCCATAACACCGGAGCTTTGGACGTTTGGATGCTCATTACGGCTCATGATACCTGCGAAGCGTGCAGTACCTACTGCGGCCACCAGGGGGCGCCAAGAGCATTTTTTTTCTTTTATCCATAAAATAATGATTTCTACATACATTATCAAATATTTATTATTGTAAAAACAAATCTCTTTATGGTGAAATTGTGTGTTTTTGATATTATAATGACATAGAAATTATTATTACAAAAAATAAAAAAAAATAAAAAATCAGCTCCACTCCCAGACACACAGACATGCACACACACACACTGACACACTGACACACAGACATGCACACACACACACAGACACACACAGACATGCACACACACACAGACATGCACAGACACACAGACATGCACACACACAGACATGCACAGACATGCACACACACAGACATGCACACACACAGACATGCACACACACAGACATGCACACACACAGACACACACACACATGAGTAAAGAAACCAAAACCTTCATGAAGAGCAGAACAAGCTGGAGAAGCAGACTAAACATAAACCTTCAGAACCAGAACCAGCAGAGCCATCAGAACCTGTTGTTAGCTCCTTCAGCTTCAGAACCAGAGCTGAACTCTGTATTAAACACTACACAGCTTTCACACTCAAAAATAAAAACAGAAATGTGCGGCGCACAAAAAACTACAGGGCCTCATAAAGTGTGCATGCACACAGAAAATGTGTGTTGTCATATTTTACGCAAAGGCAACATGTATAAAATGAATGTGGTGTGAAAGTTTGCATAAAGCTACGCAAACTTTTTACCTGCAGTGAAAATGTGCGACAGCCACTTTTAATACGGACAATAAGAAACTAGAAGGCATCAAAACTCACCTAAATACACTGAAACCTGAAATCTGACTTCATTCAGTCCAAGAAGCATCAAACCCGATGATTATCATCAATCTTTTATTGTTTAAATGATGAAACTGAACCACATTTATCCTCAGACAATAACCTGAAAAATAAATCAAATGAACTAAAGGAAGGTAAAACTTCACTCCAGTGTAAATAATAACTTCCTCAGTTTGTCTCATGAAGATGTAACTCATCGTCTGAAAGCATCTGAGGCTCATTTCATTCTGACTGGAGAGAAAACAGGCTGATCAGCAGATGGATCCACCAGGTTCGGTTCTGATCAGGAGACGATCAGCTGATCCAGGTGAGCCGCTACCTGAGGAGCTTTGGCTCTGATGGAGAACATCTGAGGGATTCAGAGGAGGATTGATCACAGATCAGATCCATCTGATGGTCGATCGGCGTTTAGATTCATCCAGACTGATCATCCTGGAGCTCTGCAGTACTGATACCAGTACATGTGCAACTTGTATACATAATTCCTCTATTTAATAAACGTCCACATTCCCCACTCACCATAAAGGATTCTATGGACTCTTTCTGTCTTTAACCAGCACCAGCAAGAACAGGCCAGGTCCAGTTGGAGAAGCAAAATGTTCCAGTACACTACGCCGTGGAAGGTTCTGACTCTGTCTGGACCCGGAGAACAAGGTGAGGCTGCCAACAACCTGATGCAATACCACTGCTGGTCCAGTAGGGGCCAGCAGAACCTCAGTACCGCTGCTGGTCCAGCAGGGGGCAGCAGAACCTCAGTACCGCTGCTGGTCCAGCAGGGGGCAGGGTTCCCCTGGTTCTCTGGTCCTCCAGGCTCACTACTGTGGAGAATTATCCTTCTCCATGCTAAGTTCTTGATGTATGAGGTTGAAAAAGAGTCAGTGAGTTGAATTCATGATTTCCATTTATTAATACCAAAATACAGCTGGTCCATTTCTCATGCTACCTTTAGGAGTTAGCAGGAAAAAATGCCATCGAACAAAAGTTTTCCATTCCTTTTGTTAGTCTCTATCCAAGCTACGCCCTAAAAAGGGCATTCCCTAGTGTGTCATATCCTTTAACCCTAGATTTGATGGCGTTTCCTAACATGTCATTTCCTTTAGCTTTAGCTTTGCAACTAGCTAAAAGAGATGGAAGAAAAAACAGAATTATTTATTCTCAACACATGTTTTAGCAGTTTCCCTGTTTCATTTCGCCTGATTCAGCTGATTGCAGTTCAGCAAACACTTGTCAACTGAAGTCACCTGGCTGCAGTGAGCTTGGAGGCCCAGGGCTGGGAAACTCTGCTCTCAGTACCCAGAAAGCCCGACACTCTCCATGATGATGATCCAGAGTCCACCTGAGGGAGAGCGGGTGGGCGGGGCCTGTGAGTGGGCGGGGCCTCACAGCAACCTTCGTCCCCTCAGGCAGCTGCTCTTCAGACCTGCAGCTGCTGCTGGACGCTGATCGAGGTAAGAGAGATTCTGTTGTTCAGGTGATTTGAGGCCAGAGGCTGACCAGATGTTTGGGTCCGTTAGGGTGCGGGGCTGTGGTTCGGCTTGGTCCAGAAACAACACAGGAACTCACACACACACACAGAGGAACACATACACACACACACACACACACATACACACAGAGGAACACACACACACACACACAGAGGAACACATACACACACACACACACACACAGGAACACACACACACACACATACACACACACACACACACACACACACACAGGTTCTGGCCCGGTTCCGTTGCCCCACAGCAGGCGGTTGCCTATCGGCCGCCAGCTGCGGGAGCGGCGTCTTATCAGCCGGTCGCAGGCGAAGCTGCAGCTCTGAATGTTCCTCCTGCGGTTCTGGTGGTTCAAGTTCTCACTGTCTCATCGGACGGTTCTGATCCAGATTGATCCTCCCGACGTGAACCAATCTTCTCCAGAACTTGGAACCATCCCGGACAACCAGCTGATTGTGAACTGTTCGGACCAGAACCAGTTGTGACAGATCGGTCCGGAATGTTCTGGATCAGTGATGAGGGAGAACCTGAAGTTCTGATCCTCTTAATATGGACCCAACCAGAACCTGGCAGGCGGTGCCACATTAACAGACTGGTATCAAACCAGTCCAACATCAGACTAAAACCAGGACTGACACAAATTGAGACCAGTTCAAAACCAGTTAAACACCAGGCAGTTTTATGAAGAATTAATGAGCACAAAACCAGTATGACACCAGTCTATTTATGACACCAGTCTATTTATGACACCAGTCTATTTATGACACCAGTCTATTTATGACACCAGTCCAGAACAAACTTTAATCCCAATTTATTCCAAAGAAGCAAGTCCTGTACAAAGTAATGAAAAATCATACCAGTTTAAACCAGTATGGTAGCAGTATAAATGGAAATGATCCAGAACCAGTTTAAAAGCAGCATGCAGATGGATCTAACCCAGTTTGAAACCAGAGTAAACAGAACCAGTCCAGAACCCTCCAGAATTCAGTATGAAACCAGTTTCAAACTGGATGAGTTGAACCAGTTTAGATGTCAGTGACCTGAGTCGGGTTCTGGTTTTAAACCCACCCTGGCCAAACCCAGTAAGGGCGGTTTCTGTGGGTCAACCACCAACAGAACCAGCATGATATCCAGTTTAAGACTGGTTTACTGGGACTGTTGAACTAGAAACCAGTGTAGATCCGCACAGTTCAAAAGCTCCTGTAAGAAAAGCTGCCATCAACACCCGGACCGGGTCCATCAGAACTGCCGGTATCAGCAGGTTTATCTCTGGACCTGCAGTGTGGATCTGATAAGAGGCGGGTTGTTGCACCAGGTGAACCGAGCCGCTCCTCTCTGGGGTGTAAACTCATCTCTGCTCAGTCAGACGTTCCTTTCCTCTGTGACTTCAGTTTCATTTCTCCCAACCCAGTTCAGACGCTATGGGGACTACAGGTCCCACAATCCTTTGCAAACGCCCCCCAGGACTCCCCGGGTGTTGCTGATCAGTTTATTGCTCCTTGGCTTCAGTAATTGTCTTTGCTGTTGTTTCAGAGACTCTCAACCGAAGACTGTTGGCCTGTTTGGTCCCCACAAAGTTCTCAAAGATCCAGAGACGGTTCTCCCCCCTGTGTCTCCGCAACGCCCCCTGCAGGCATGGACAGCTCCCCCAGGAGGTGGGTGCTGAAGCCTCTGTCCCCCCTGCTGCAGCCCTCAGACCTGAGAACCATCGTTGGGTCTGCTCCTGGCCTGGCGGACCGGGACTCTGGCTCCTGGGAGAACAACGGAACCCAGAACGGCCTAGTCAAAGTCCGGCATGTCACGGTGCAGGATGGTGACTCTAGCGGTGATGAGTGGCAGCCCAGCAGTCCCGGTAGCAGCTCCGGCTCTCAGAGCGGCTTCTACTCCTTTGTGGAGGATCCCAGGAGTCCGGAGGCGGAGCTGAACGAAGCCTGGATGGTGTCACCACAGCGCCAGGCTCAACTGGCCGTCCTGAAGAAAGAGAAAGGATTCAAACTACAGACCTACAGCATCAACAAGAAGCCAGAGAGTCTGTTCTCAGAGAGCAATGGAGACCATCAGTATATAGTGGATCCCAACAATGGGATAAAAATGATAGATGAGGATGAGGAGAAGCAGCTTCGTAAGATGATCATCCACAGCCAGGCCCCTAGGAGGAGCCAACCAGAACCACAGAACCAAGCGGAGGTTCTGGACCCCATCCTGTCCACAGATGGACTGATAGAGGGGTTCAGTTTGAGCTTTAGTCCTGTTCTCTCCAGACCAGAATCTCCTCAAATCACTGCGCCAGGGGCCGTGGTGAAGGAACAGATCAACTTTGGTGCAGCCCGACAGAAGTTTCTACAGATAGAACAAGACCGACTGTCACAGATGCTCAGTCCTATCCGGTCCCCCAGAATCCCACCGGACTTGACTCCAGAATTGGATCCTAATGTTTATGTGTCGAGGAAAGTGAAAGTCTACGGTGCCATGGAGGCAGGCGGTAACACGACTCCATTTAGACCAGCAGGCGTAGATGAGATGGATCTTCAGAGGAGAGTGACAGTGCTCCGTTCCGATGGCAGTCTGAGTAGAGAGAGTAGCATCTTTGAAGACTCTGGCCATGAGGAACTGTCAGTAGAAGTGGCTGGAGGCTACGCCAGTGATGACAGCTTGCTTGATCACTGCAGGAAATCCAAGGTGTTCCCTGAAACCCCCATTGAGAGGGAGATCCGATTAACTCAAGAACGTGAGGCGGAGCTACGGAAGTCTCGAGGCCTGAAGCACAGCAGTGGTCAAGTGGAGATGGTCAGAATCGAAACCAGACGTTCACTGCTGTCCCCGACACCTGACAGAACCTTCGAGAAGAATCCACTGAGCTTCATCCTCCACAGAAAAACCCAAAGGGAGGAAGGCCCCCAGCAACCAGAGATCCAGGAACCAGATGGCAGAGCTCCTCCTCCACAGCTGGGGTACAAGGAAGAAGAGGCTGACCCACACTCAGGAGAAAAGCCTGATTCCGATTCTGGAACAGACGAAGTGTTCCTTTCTCCATGCTGTCCTCACCGACATCCTGATGAGTCCTGGTTCTCCCAGATGAACCCAACCACCGCCTTATTCACACCAAAGGACTCTGAGGGCAGAAAACAAACAGTTTCCTCCCCTCCTGCTTCTCTCACACCAACAACCCTGCATGAATTAGAGCTCCCTCAGAGCTGGAGGAAGAACCTGGAATCCACAGGCCTGCAGTTCAGAGGGCAAGGAGCTCCAGACTTCATTGAGAAGGAGATTGAAGAAGCTCTGAAAAGAGAACAGGAGCTGAGAGAGCTGAGGGAGTCCATGAAGGAAACCAACCGACCCATCTTCTCTCCAGTTCCTCTGGCGGACCAGGCATCCAGGACGGCCATGAGGCAGTTCTACCCACCACTTAAAGCAGGTACCAGATTCCTATCCTAAATTTAATGGCACCAGCTTTTTACTTTCAGTTTTAATGAGAAATAGAAATATTTACATTCAGGTGTGATGTTGGATCTATTGTCACTGAGATGAATTGAACCCCAGGCGGTTTTGGAAAAGGATGCTGACGTTTGCTGCAGTTCCTGCCTGTCCTGTCAGATTCTCTTTGGCCATTTTCACCAAGCTGTTCCATCCTGATCCAGCTCACCCCACACAACCATGTAGAACAAACAGGTCAGTGGAGTGACGCAGCAGGAGGTGTTGTTCACTCTGCCCCCCCTGCACGTGCCTGGCCGTGAAGCCAGCTGATCTCGCTCAGGTTAGGGACAGAGGCGGGTTGACTTTAGCTCCCTTCACCGGATCAGTATTCTGCTGTGAGCATCCTGATGTTCCTCCTGTCAGTTAGTGGAGGAACATTAGCTCGGTGTTCAGACAAAGGAACCGTCTGGGATCAAGATTCTTGCTGCTGGTTCTTTTGGGCTGCTGCTAAGGTCTGTCATTTCTAAAGAACCCTCAGCCATGCTTATGAGAAGCCTCAGCTTCATAGTTTTTCAAGGTTCTGGTACTGGGTTTCCCAGGAGGTCCAGACTAGGCCAAAACTGGGCCTGCTCCAGGTCAAACCCACTGTAGACACAATGAGTAACCTAATGAGGCCAGAGTCCAGCAGACTGAGTCAATTAGTAACAGTTTCTGACTCAGAGTCCAGTCTCTGTCAGACGGCCTTCTCAGGAACACCACACCTAAGCTTCAAGGAGAACAGGGCTGTCCTTCCTGGGGTGGCCTGCAGGGGGCAATGTCACCCAGCAGTAGAGTGTTGGAGATGCATTCAGGTTAACTGTTGGTGGACATGAAGCAGGTTCTAAAGAGGCTTTAGAACTCCTCTAGAACCAGAACTTGGAGGTCCTATTTGCTCACAGCCACTTTGTGGTTGATGTCTCAGGTATCCCTCAGGGTTAAGGTTAGCATGCCTGCTAATGTACACATGCTTCCTTCCTGTCTGTCACTCAGAGAAACCTGCCAGTCCGTCCTCGTCCTCTCCTCATCTCAGCGTCCGGCTGCCCTCTGCCTCCCTCGTCACCGCTAAGCCCTGGGCCTCATCGGCGTCCCCGGCCTCTTCCTCCCCACTGGCGGTCCGGACGGTTCCTCGAGGTTTGACGGAAACGCTGCTGCAGGACTTTGAGGAACACCGAGCCAAGCTGAAGCTGGAAGAGAGCGCTGTGAGTCTCCTGCTCTTATTTTGGTAGTCTCAGCCTGAGAGATTGGACTTCCTGTCTGAAGATGTTTGTGTCTTTCAGTATGCAGGAATCCAGCCGGTTGATGACATCAACAATGAGGTAAGCACTGCAGGCCCTGAAATGGTCCAGGATGGAAACCAGTTACACCAGTTACAGAACCAACCCCAGCTAGAACATAGGATAATCAACAGACTCAAAGTGTTCATAGAACCTCTAGAGAACCTGGCCCAATCCATTACGGAGCAGTACTTTTACCTTGAAGGGAATCTGTGAGCTTTATTCTGGAAAGCTATTTGAGAGTTTCTGTAGAACCCAGAATGTTTAGTACTCAATCAATGTCGGTTTAAGAGGTTCTGACCCAATGGTTTTGGTTTATTGGGTCTATGGAGGCAGCCATAGACCACAGACCATAGACCATGGCTAGAAGATGATCCAAAGAAGAAGTTGAGTCATTGGTTACAATGATGATTCCCACCTAAACGTCTCTTTAGCAACATTTTGAAGATTTCTACGATAATTCTGTAGATCTGGGTCAAACAGACCCTTCAGTCGGTCCAGTTCTCCGGACTGACTGGTCCTACAGCAGAGGGAGATGTGAAGATGAAACTGTGGTCATAAAAGGAGTTTAAATCCAAAAGGTTTTGAACATCTCACCAGGTCTGAACCATCAACACTCTAAGCTTTCTATAACCCGTTTAGACTTTGAATGATGGTTCTACTGGACCAGCGAACGCTGGCCCAGTTGGTTCTCAACTCGTAGGCTGAAGACATGACGTGTGTTTAGCAACTGGCTAGTTAGCATGTCTTGATTTCTGGATCAACTTGTGGATCTTCAGGAGTTTGACTTATTTGGACCCTGTCACTAAAGACTTTTATTTTGAAAGACTTCACTGACTGGTTCCACATGCATCTATTCCATCACCTTGATGTCCCCTCTGTCTCTTGTCTCAGGTGGTGGAGTCCACTCGAGTCGTTCGTCATAAAAACCAGAGAGCGCTGCTGTGGGAGGCTGGACAGTTCGCCAACCAGGACAACCAGTGAGACCACCAGGACCAGATGAAGGACCAGATTTGGTTCCAGAACCAAGTGTGGACCAATCCCAAGCAGGGTCATGGATCAGCAGCATCAACTGATGGACCCTTATAGACAAGATGTTCTCACCTGATCCAATCAGCTGCTGAGTAAACGTCCAGTGGAGACAACTGGTCGCTTTCAGTCTAATCTCAGAGAGTGACGCAGGAGTTTGATTTTGACACTTTTAATTAGACAAAACTAAACAGGAAGTCAGTAACTGTTCATGATTGAAATTGATGCAGCAAAATAAATGAAACCCTAAAATTCGTTGATTGTTGCAGTTCTGCTGTTTGTCTGGATGGGTTCTGGACTTGAGAACGGACCCACTTTGCAGTCTGTCAGCATGAACTTCTTCCATGCTGAGGTCAGAGCCTGCTGTGACATCACTGACCCAACTCACAGGTGGTGGAGCCATGTTAAAAACCTGAGGTTTCCCCACCAGACGGGAAGCAACCATATTTGGAGACGATCCCAAGTAACCCCTACTCCTTCCCAACCAGCAGGGTGCGCTCTGATTGGCCGATGGAGAACCTGTTCACTGACAGGCATTCTGCTAATGCTCCCACAGTAATGTTGAAAAAAACAAAACAACAGATTTTAATCTCTGAGTTTTTTCCTTCAGTAAATAAAGAATAAGTACATCTACAATACTAACTGGTGGTTTCGTTATTTTTATATTGCAGAGTTTATTAACATATCTGGTATGAGTTTCAGATGTGATGTGGTGCTTGATGGATATGGCTCGTTTGGTCAGCAGAATGAAACATTAATATTAAAGTGTTTAAATATTATTCTGCTCAAATATCTCCTAGAAGTTTAAATAAAAAACACCAGCAGGTAAGCATGAGCGCTTTAAACGTTTTCTGAAAGAGCCTGTCAGAACGCGCTGAGGGTAAAATGACCCTCCTATATGTCTGGGTCCTCCGTGCAGTGCGGGCTGCCCGCGGCGCCTTTTCAGTAATCAGCAGACAGGTTTAACAGAGCGTAATGGAGATCATCTATAGAAAAATTAAACTTGACGCCAAAAAGAAAACGGAACACTGATTATGTGAAACTTGTTGATGAGATGCTTTAATAATTCAGTTTTACATTCAGGCAGCTGTTTGTACAGCTTTAGTTGGATTGGGGGTGGGACCGAGTCTGGCTGTTTTACAACACCGTCTTTAGCTCCATTTCTTGAATAGGCCTCAGTTCTACTAATTCTACTGATTCGGCCTTGTAATTCATATTAAAGTTTTATTCTACAGTTTCGTTTTTTCCTGAGACTGAAAAAGATTCTTTATTTTCTCGCCGCTTAATCAGTCAGGTAAGCTAACAACAGCTAGTAGATGCTAGCATTTGCTGAAAAAACTGAATTAAACTGGCTAACCAGCGGACTTTAAACACCTCCAGCTTCTGGACCTGGTGTTGTCTGACATTGGGTCCAGTTCGGCTGCAGTTTTACTTTAAAAAGGCTGTTCTTATAAAGGATAAGTATAGATTTCTGCTAAAATCCAATCAAACCAACGGACCCAACCTGGCTTAAATGAGCAACTTTTAAAGGGGATTCTGAATTAATCAGAACTCAGCCTATTAAACAGGATAATATGATTTAAATCTCAAAATTTATTTATTATTTTTCCCAGTTTCCATAAGCAATGCGACCCCTGCTGATAAATGCTACTGGGCCTATCCCAGTTTACACCAGAACTGAATACTTGACCTACGAAGATCAGAACCAGTAGACGGACCTGACCTGGAACAGAAAGCCTCACCAGATGTTTGTTTTCTCTCAGGTGAGGCGCCCACCTGTCCTGGTTCTTCTTCTGTGATTCAGTCATGGAGCTGGCGTATGTGTGCGACTGGGAGAAGCGTCCGAAGAGCACCCACTGTCCGTCCATCCCACTGGTGAGCTCCTGGTCCTGCAGGAACCTGGTGGCCTTCACCACCGACCTGAAGAACGACGATGACGACACCAAAGGTAGGCAGGAACCAGAGACCTGGGAAAACCCACTTTGACCTAATCAGAACCCGTTCATCTTCCAGATGTCAGTCACATGATCCACATCATTGACACAGAGCATCCGTGGGACGTATTCTCCATCAACTCTGGCCACAGTGAAGTCATTTCCTGTCTGGAGTGGGACCAATCAGGTGAGCTTTACCCAAGTCACCTGTTGTCCAGGTTCTGTAACTCCTGGGGGTTCTGACCCAGTTCTGCAGGGTTTTAAATGCTGGTTTCTTATGTTTCTGGTTCTCTGTTGTGTCTCGCTGTGTTTTAACTCGGTCCCGCCCCGGTTCTAAAGGCTCCCGCCTGCTGTCGGCGGACGGCGACGGCAGGATCCGGTGCTGGTCGATGTCAGAGCACCTGGTGAACAGCTGGGAGAGCGCCCTGAGCAGCTCGGTGGACGGAGACCCCATCGTGGCGCTGAGTTGGCTGCACAACGGCGTCAAGCTGGCGCTGCATGTAGAGATGGTGAGGTCACTTCCCGGAGGCCGCGGGCTGCTGCTGAGAAACGAGATATTTTCTCGTCTCTCCAGGTCCATTGATGTCGTGTGTAAAAGTGAAACCACAAAGACAACAGTCACTGTTCAACTTCACAATCAACCAGAATTTATTCAAACAACCAAATGCATAAAATTACATCAACAGCTCAACATAATCATCAGAAACCAAAGCCACAAGAAGAAATTAATTACTTTAGAAAATGCAAAATACGAAGACGCGCCTTCAGAGAGCTCTGAGTGGCAGTTAAGACAGATCCTCCACCCAGCGATCTGATTGGCTGTTTTAGCTCCATTACTTCTATATCCAGGTGTTTCTACTGCCTGGCGTCTGCCGTTTAGAGGCGTCTGCCTGCCTACAGCAGCACCACGCCATCAGTGCTGCTGTAGGCAGAGACATGCAGGTGATACCGAGGCCCAGGATGGATCCATCGCTGTCTAATCCTCCTTTCCCAGAGAAAGAACAATAGATGTTCATTTCATACAGAAAGAAAGCAGGACCAAAGTTTATCAGCTATCTGCGTTTCTCATTTCAAACTGGTTCCTGAACCCACAGAGCTCTGCTGACCTCTGACCTCTGACCCAGGGCATCAATCAGCGGATTTGATTATAAAAATTAACACACATTTCATATAATATCTTGAAACTCTGATAAAACAGACATGAGCAGTTTCACTACCAACACATCCGTTACACTCTGATGTTCTGATTAGTTTCCAACTTCTTTGGTTATAATGAACTAAAACATTTTCAGATAAATTTATGACTTATAGACTCTTAAGAATGTGATCTACTATAAAAACTACTGTTTAGACTAATTTTAATCAAATCGTGATCATTATATCTAAGAAAATGTTCTACTGATCAAATTATGTATTGATTAAATCATGAGTCTAAATCTGACCTAAATTAAGGCCGACTCAAAACAATCAGGATCAGTCTAATGTTTCAACATGTGCTAAAGTTAAACGTCATTAAAACTAGCATAATTAAACTAAATTTTCCAACACTGGGCTTTTCCTGTCCTCTCGCCGTAGTCTGGCTCCACCAACTTTGGAGAAAAGTTCTCGCGGGTCAAGTTCTCGCCGTCGCTGACGCTGTTCGGTGGGAAGCCGATGGAAGGCTGGCTGGCGGTGACGGTCAGCGGCCTGGTGACGGTTTCGCTGCTGAAGCCGGGGGGCGCTCTGCTGACGGCCAGCGAGAGCCTGTGCCGTCTGCGGGGCCGTGTGGCGCTGGCCGACATTGCCTTCACCGGCGGCGGGAACATCGTGGTGGCGGCGACCGACGGCAGCAGCTCCTCACCGGTCCAATTCTACAAGGTGAGGGCAGAAGGTAATGCTGTTGCTACGGTAACATGACGCTCAGGCAAGGCACACAATAACCAGGTGGTGTGTGTGTGCAGGTGGTGGTGAGCGTGGTGAGCGAGAAGTGCCGCATCGACACAGAGCTGCTGCCGTCGCTCTTCCTGCGCTGCACCACCGACCCGCTGCGGAGGGACAAATATCCGGCCGTCACGCACCTCAAGTTCCTGACCCGGGAGAACTCCGAGCAGGTGAGTGCCACCGGTTCGGGGCTGGCCAGGTCAGAACCGGCCCCTCTCTGACGGCCCCTCCGGTTGCAGGTGCTGCTGTGCGCGTCCAATCAGAGCGGCAGCATCGTGGAGTGCTGGTCCCTCAGGAAGGAAGGACTTCCTGTCAACAACATCTTCCAGCACCGCTCTCCAGTTGGTAAGACCCCNGTAACACAATGACAACACCGATGTTCTCACTAGTTTGTTTTGGCCTGTGGTCAACAAAGATGGCGCCGAGCGACGTAAACGTCATACACTGTGACGTCAGCTCCAAACCTCTATAGGCTGAAAGTGGCAGAACAAATCTGATTGGCTGAGCATGGCTCCGCCTCCAGACTGACCCTGGTTTTCCTCTGTCCCCCTGCAGGCGCCAGGGAGGATGAGCCCACCTGTGGGCGTCCCCTGGGCATCAGGGCGGGGCCTAATGGGACGTTGTTCGTAGCCGACGCCTACCTAGGCGTGTTTGAGGTCGACCCTGCCACAGGTGAGCTTTGACTGGACCCTCCACAACCCCTGCTTCCAGGTGGAGCTGACGACGCGACTCCCTGCAGGTGCGGTGACCCGGCTGGTGGCGGGGGGGCAAGAGGTCGGCGGCAGGAAGCTGTCGTTCATCAACGACGTGGCGGTGACGCAGGATGGCAGGAAGCTGTACTTCACCGATTCCAGCAGCAGGTGGCAGCGCCGGGACTACCTGCACCTCATCATGGAGGCCACGGCGGATGGAAGGTACAACCCGCCGCCTGGGTCAAAGGTCAAAGGTCAGCTGCTAGGACCCTTCAGAATAAAAGCCTGTCCTCATGTCCGCCTCAGAGTGCTGGAGTACGACACGGAGACGCGGGAACTAACTGTCGTCATGGAGAACCTACGCTTCCCCAACGGCATCCAGCTGCTGCCGGACCAGGAGTCGGTTCTGGTGGCCGAGACCACCATGGCCCGGATCCGCAGGTGAGCCCGACACTGACCCAGGACCACCCCGGTCCACAGGTGCTCTCCTCCCTGACCGGCTCTGTCTCCATCCAGGGTCCATGTGGCGGGCCTCAACAAGGGGGGCATGGACACGTTTGTGGACAACCTGCCTGGTTTCCCGGACAACATCCGGCCCAGTTCCTCCGGAGGATACTGGGTCTCCATGGCGGCGGTCCGGCCCAACCCCGGCTTCTCTATGTTGGACTTCCTGTCCCAGAGACCCTGGGTCAAGAAGCTCATCTTCAAGGTGAAAAAGGCCCATCAGTTTCATGTGACCTCTGACCTGCTAGATGAGAAACTAATGAGAATGCCTGAGATGTCCTAGTCAAAGGCTGCGTTCATCCAGCAGATCTTGATGCTGCTGCTGATTAAACCCGACTGCAATGTGAGGTCTGTGTGACCGAAGAGGAACGTAGCCACCGCCCAGCAGCGCTCGGTTTACGGCAGTAAAGATGGCCGCCGCAGCGCTCGGTTTACGGCAGTAAAGATGGCCGCCGCAGCGCTCAGTTTACGGCAGTAAAGATGGCCGCCGCAGCGCTTGGTTTATGGCAGTAAAGATGGCCGCCGCAGCGCTCTGTTTACGGCAGTAAAGATGGCCGCCGCAGCGCTCGGTTTACGGCAGTAAAGATGGCCAAAAAGTCGCTGGGTGACGCAGCCTCAGGCAGCAGCAGTTTTCCACCAGGTCAAAGGTCACGTTGTCCTCCTCTCTCGGTTTCTGCCCTGCAGCTGTTCAGCCAGGACGTCCTCATCAAGGCCGTCCCCCGCTACAGCCTGGTGGCGGAGATCCAAGATGGCGGCGTCTGTAGGCGGAGCTTCCACGACCCCAACGGCCTGGTGGCCGCCTACGTCAGCGAGGCCCACGAGCATCATGGGAAACTCTACATCGGATCCTTCCGCTCGCCATACATCGCCGTGCTGGACCTGCAGGGACCGTAGAAGTGGGTCGGAACTGGGTCTGGCCTCCCTCCCTGCTGGTTCTGATGACCCAGTCCTGTTTGGATTAGAACTTGGGGACTTTAAAAGCAGCTGTTGGAAGCTGAGGGGTCCAGTTGGGCCCGGTTCTGGTTCTGTTGCTCGGTCATTATTTCATGTCAGACTGAATGTTCCTGTGTCGCTTCTTCTACTGCTGTAGGACAAGTCTCTGCTTCCACCCTAACCAAAACCGGGACCGGAACCGAGACCGTGACCGGAACCGGAACGTCCTCATAAGGCCGTCCAGGACCTGGTCCTGGTCCCGGTTCCGATTCTGAAAATTGTGAAAAAGTGAAATCAGGCGAGTTAATCGTGATTCGTGAACTTGGTTCTGGTTCGGCCCGGTTTCGTTTAATCCAACCTGTAGACCTACTGGACTCTGGAGGTTCTGGAGAATAGAAAAACCGGGTCTGGATCTGCTGCAACTCTTTATTCACTCATCATTTAAACAAACAGAACCAGATCCTGATCAGAACCGGTTCTGGATCAGACATGGTTCTGGATCAGAACCGGTCCCTGTTGGTGTGATCTGCACAGCAGCTCCAGGGTTTCCCGCCCAGGCTTCCAGGGGATCAGCCACAGCTCCAGGTGACACCGAAAGGTCTGGACAGAGACGGGTCGGTCACAACCTCCAGAACCATCGGGTCCTCCTGCGACTCAGATCCAGACTCACCTGGGCCAGGCGGCCCGGAGGCTGGAGGCGGCACCGGTCCAGGTCCGAAGTCCGGTTTCGTTTGGGACAAACCGTCCTGGAGATCTGGAAGTCCACGATGTACCGGATCCCTCTGACCACCTGGAACACAGAGTGGGTCCGTTAGGTTCTGCTCCGATCCGGAACCAGGCCTGGGTCCAGACCAGAACTGCAGGAATGGGTCTGCTTCAGGTACTAGGCTCAACAGAACCTGGTTCTGGTTCCCACACATCAGACTGAATCTAAACATGCTTTTACTTTGAAAGGAGGTACTGTTTCCTGTGAGCTGGTTCTGCAGTGGAGAAACAGGTTCTGGTTCTGTTGAGCCCTTCTCTGATTGGCTGATTGGTCCAGCCAATCACCACAGACCTGAGCTTCAAATAAACTACTGTTGCTTTAACTGTCCCGCCTCCATCTGTTCTGGTTCTGATCCAGTTCCTCCTTCCAGAAGTTATGACTGCTGGAGGACTGACAGGGCTGACCAATCAGACTGCAGAGTGAAAGTTTCTGACCAATCAGAGTGAAGGTTTCAAATCAAATCAAATGTTATCTGTACAGCACCAAGGCATTTCAAAGAGCAACAATAAAACGTGACATTAAGTCGTTAAATTGATCACGATTCAAATAAAACTAACCAGGAGGGTTTTAGTCTGGATTTAAAGACACTCAGTGTTTCAGCTGTTTTACAGTTTTCTGGAAGTTTGTTCCAGATTTGTGGTGCATAGAAGCCGAATGCTGCTTCTCCTCGTTTGGTTCTGGTTCTGGGGATGCAGAGCAGAACCAGAACCAGAACCTGAGGGTCTGGCAGGTTGATACAACAACAACAGATCTGGTTGTGGTGCTAAACCGTCCAGTGATTTATAAACTAACAGGATTTTACAGTCTGAGCTACAGGGAGCTACAGCTGTAGGACTGTAGATCTGGTGTTATGTCTCCATCTTCCTGGTTCTAGTCAGAACAGCAGCAGCAGCTTCTGGATCAGCTGCAGCTGGAGGATTGATTTGGTGGACAGACCTGTGAAGACGCTGCTGCAGGAAACAATGAGACTGAAGATAAACGCCTGGATGAGTTTCTCTGATCTGAGACATCAGTCCTCTGATCCTGGAGATTCTTCAGGTGGTAGAAGGCCGACTTTGTGACTGTCTTTATGTGGCTCTGAAGGTTCAGGTCAGAGGTCAGAGGTCATCACTACTCCCAGGTTTTGGGTTGATTGCTGGTTTTAGTTGTATTTCTGACCAATCAGAGAGCAGGATCCGCCCACTCATTCCTTCCTAGTAGATTCTCCTCTGGTGGTTCTGGAGAAACTGGACTTCCAGGGTTTTTTTTAACCAGTTGGATCTAGACACCAGAATCCGGACCTGTTGAAGGTTCTGACCTGCCTCCCATACCACCATAGCAACAACTATCTCCAGGTAAGCGGTACCTGTTGCTGCGCTCTGAGGACGGCCGATGGTTTGAACAGGAAGGCGTCATTTGATTGGCTGTTGAAGGAGTGGGCGGCGCCGAGGACGGCCTGCTGAACGGCGGCAGAGTTCTTGCTGATGTCATACGGAGAGCCTGGCATGGGGTGGCCATGATGGCTGCTGGCTGCTGGACCCGGACCTGGAAGAGAAGAACCTTTGGAACCAGCAGAACCCAGGCCGGTCTGCCAGTTTGTTTCGGACCCGTTTGTGTTTGCAGTTCCTGGTTCTCCTGATATCTGTGCCTTTCAGAACCACAGAGAACGATCCAAGGATCTGACCCAAACAGAACCCGGTGCTGGGTCACTTCTGCCCGACCAGAACCAGCCCTCCAACCTTACCCAGAGTGGCGAGCAGCAGCAGCGGCAACATCTTCGCCTCCATCTCGGTTCACTTCCTGTCACCGCAGATCAGCTACTTCCTGTCCCTGTCTCAGCTTCTCTCACACCTGACATCACTTCCTGTGTCTGACACTCTCCCTGGACCCCGCCCCCTTTAGGTGGGGTTCCTCCAGGCTGCGTTCTGACCCCACTGGTTTCCTTTTCTAGCTGCCATCAGTCCTCCTGTCACATTCATGCTGAGGACGTCCAACTGTGTCTCTGTTTAGACCTCAGCAGTTGGACAGGCTGGCTGTCCTCGTCCAGTGTCTGTCCCCTATTAGTGACTGGCTCAGACAGACAGCAAACCCAGAACATCAGAACCACCTCTTGATCAGCACTGCTGAAACCAGTGAGACGGTGGACAATGAGATGTGGTAAATATTATTTAATTTGGTTAAGAATAATTATTGCACCATCAATAAATGACTAATAAATGTTCCTATTGCCAGAGGATCACAGTAACACCTTCATGATCTCATAAAGAGGATGGATGATCTCTGCTAAAATATTTCTGCCATCTTTCATGTTCTTTCAGCAAACAGTTGAGACAGAGATGGTTTTGGTTTCACCACCATTTACCTGCTGTTATACCTGCCATTCAAAGTATTATAGATTGTCTGCTAGTCTGCAGCTCATGTGACCAAACCAAACAAGGAGATGAAAAGATAAAACTTGAGTTAAAATGTTGTTTTAACTTGAGTTGAGTTAAAACTCAAGTTAGAATGTTAAGTTTTAACATTTTAACTCAACAACCTCAAGTTGGGTAACCCCAAAATCACTGGGTCTTCTTAAAAGACTCCGAGAACAGTTCTTAAAAATATAGTCAGTGTTTTCAGCAAAGTTGAAAATTTGCCACAGTTTCAACAGGTTGGCCATCAAGTGAAACTGGAATCACTTTCAAGTCTTGCTTATGTCATTTAATTAGCTCTACTTCCTTAAGAAAATGAAAAGGTACGTTCTTTTGTGAGGGAATTTATCTTTTACTGTTCCAGTAATGCCAGAATTGATAATAAGCAATAAATACTTTGTGGTATTCTGATTTAGTAATTATATTAGTTGTATTACCACCCCCACGCCACTAGAGGCAGTAGAAGACCCAGAAAATGCGACTAAATAGGAGATTTAGAAGTACACAGAAAGCTACAGAATTTGTTAAAAACTGTGAGCTGCGCTGCAGTAGATAAAAGAGAAGTTCAAATACATTCTGAGAGTGAAACTCCTTCCTAAAGGTGAAAATATATCACAGATTTCAAAAGAAAATAAAAACGGAAGTATAGGAAATAGCGCCCCCTTCACTTCCGGATTGCAATGGTCCCATTTCCAAATAAGGTATGAGACGGACAGTGGTCCGTCCGCCCCTTCCTGTTTGCTGCAGCGAGGTCCTTCTCTCCTTTCCTGGGCTGGAAGAACAAGAGTCTAAAAAGTTGTTTCTAAGCTAGTTTTCTGGATTCTAAGTTTGTTGTAATCCATGTTCTGAGTTTTCTCAGGACTTTCTAAGTGCTGTTGAGAAACGAGACATTTTCTACCTGCTGCTCATTGTTCTCTCGTCTCTCCAGGTCCGTTAATGTCGTGTGTGAAAGTGAAACCACAAAGACAACAGTCACTGTTCAACTTCACAATCTTCCAGAATTTTATCCAAACAATCAAATCCATAAAATCAGACCAACAGCTCAACATAATCATCAGAAACCAAAGCCACAAGAAGAAATTACCTTAGAAAAATACAAAAATACAAAGACTCGCCTTCAGAGAGCTCTGAGTGGCAGTTAAGACAGATCCTCCACCCAGCGATCTGATTGGCTCTTTTAGCTCCATTACTTCTATATCCAGGTGTTTCTACTGCCTGGCGTCTGCCGTTTAGAGGCGTCTGCCTGCCTACAGCAGCACCACGCCATCAGTGCTGCTGTAGGCCAGAGACATGCAGGTGATACCGAGGCCCAGGATGGATCCATCGCTGTCTAATCCTCCTTTCCCAGAGAAAGAACAATAGATGTTCATTTCATACAGAAACATTTTACTCAAGAAAGCAGGACCAAAGTTTATCAGCTATCTGTGTTTCTCATTTCAAACTGGTTCCTGAACCCACAGAGCTCTGCTGACCTCTGACCTCTGACCCATGGCATCAATCAGCGGATTTGATTATAAAAATTAGCATGTTTCATATAATATCTTCAAACTGATAAAACAGACACGAGCAGTTTCAATACAAAAACATCTGTTACACCCAATATGTGTGCTGCCTTTTGTAAGTTAAACTGGACCAGCAAGGTTTGAAAACCGCACTAGAGCACCCCCTGGTGGATATTTTACTATGTTGCTTTTGTGACGCTAAAGTTAAAAAAATAGATCCAAGATGGTGGAACGCAAAACCAAACAGCTCGTGGAATAACTGATTACTGTTTTTATTTGTTGTGTTTCAGACAAGATTTGTTCGTAAGTACTGGTTAATTGTGAAAATAATAACTGCCTCTTTGTTTTATGTAATGCTGGTGTAAGTAATGTGTATGTTGAAGTCATTTAGGAAAATGTTTTTCGTTTTAGCTCGCAGTAAGAATGGCTATTTTGCTATGTTAGCTAATGTTAAGCCTTGCATGTTGCAGTTTACGATGGCCAAAGTGATGGCAGTGGTCAGAGGCCACTCTTCAATAAACAACTAAAAAAAAAGAAGTTTGGTTATTGAGCGTCGTCGTCTGGCTTCTAGCAGCTGAAAAGATCGAAACCTCAGGGCGAGGACAGCACAATATGTTCTGATTAGTTTTCTACTTTGGTTATATAAAGTGTGGTGATTTGAGTTTCTCTGTTTATTTTTGGTTCTGCTCCCTGTGAGTCTCTGTTTCCCAGGTGTGTCTTGTTTCTGTGATTATCTCCTGTGTATTTAAAGTCACCTGTTGTCTCTGTGTTTTGTCGGATTCTTTGTCATGTCTGTCTCCCGTCAGTCTTTGACAGATCAGTTGCTACCAGCTTTAGCTTCCTGGGACTGTTTGAGCTGCATATTGTCCATTACCCGGGACTGCTCGGCGTTCGCGCTCACCTACAATTCATGACATAAAGAACTAAAACATTTTCAGATGAATATATGAAAAGTAATGAATACTCCACAGTTTCTAACAATAATCTAAATAATAACTGATCAGTCGGATAAAAACACACAAGTGGTGTAGGAGCTATTTTCCCATTTTTTGGTTAAATTTTAGAATTTAAATTGCTTAGTTTATTCTTATTATTTGTTTGTTTTTTCCAGTTGATTTATCATTAGATTTTTTGTTTTGTTGTTTATAATTTCTTTGATTAGGAATTCCCATAATTAGTTAATTAATTTCAGTTGGGATGTGGGTATTTCACGGTATAAATAGGTGGGTCTTAGGTAGCTTATTATGCACGTGGGTGGTCATAAGGTTTTTTACCAGCCAATCAGTCACATCGGGTTTTTGTTAGTCAGAGAACAGGTACAGGAATAGGAGCAGAAGCCTGTAACCCTTTTGCCTGAACTACAAATAAACCCAAAGAACTATATTTTGACTTTGATTCCCTTTTTGCTGCGTAAACCAGAATCCACGGTGCATCAGGTGACTATTTGAGTTGGATTTACTTTTGTTTTGATCACTTTCGAGTTTTTGAGCTTTTTGATTTTTTGAATTTAAGTTTGGGGACAAATAGTCACTACAAGTGGGTCAGATGTTTGAGCCACAGTCAGACATGCTGGCGAAATTGTTTACGTCAGAGAGACTTTATTATTATAACAGTATTAATAACCTGGTTAAACTGGTGAATGTCAACATGCAATATTAAATATATTTATTATGATCATAGGCGTCCAGTTTCTGAACGGGAACGTGTCCCCACCAATATTTCCACCTTTTTTCCTTTATGTTCCTGCATCTATTAGCGGACAGTAACTCGGCAGCAGCTGCTCCTTGTGTTCAGAGCATTATCAGCTTCTTAACATTATTTTGCAAAAACGTAAATATTGAGTCCTCTCAGTGATCTATAGTGGACTGGACGTCACGTGACCTGCTGTGCGCGGCAGTGCGCCACGTGCCAGAGGTGGGACCAAGTCACTGTTTTGCAAGTCTCAAGTCTTTGTCCTCAAGTCCGAGTCAAGTCTTGATTTTAATGACTCGAGTCCAAGTCATGTGACTCGAGTCCCCAGCTCTGCCACGTGCGCTGGTGCTTTGCATTGAGTCTGGAATATCGGTGGTCTGGAAAATGACACAATCAAGCACAGAATCTGAAAAGGGGACGTAATGTTTTGCTATTAATGGTCAACGCTATGACAGCAAGATAAGAATCTAAGGGAATTACATTTCACAGGTCAGTAAAAAGTTTTAATTTAAAAATCTAAAGTGTCGAGTAGGTTAGTAGCCTAATGCTGTATCTTGACTTGGATTCAGTGGAATCAAACGATGCCCAGTAATGGCGCCGCAGGTTCGCTAGCTGTAGCGGCTAATGGCCGCCGTCCGGTCCAGGAGCATCGATGGTCTCTCTGCTCCCTGTCCTCTCTTGTATGAAGAGCTCCAGTTTCTGAGCGCTCGGTAAAATCAGGTAGTAAAAGGCAACTACATTATTGTGATATCACAGAAAATGTTGGTGGATTTTTAATTATTTTCAACTGTAAGCAAGCATTGAGCAAATCTACAGACTCATTCCATAAATTAGAATATGTTAGTAATTCCATCACCAAGTCAAAGACATTATAGATTAACTAGAACATTTCTGAAGAAGTTCAAAGTGTGGCCGTGGGTTGGAACCCAGCGTTCTGATGCTGAGATTTAGCATCAATGCTCGGCTTAGCTAAAATAATATTAATAGCATGTGGGAAATCTCAAGCATGCTGACTAAGTTGGACTTACTCCATTCAGTAGCTTTAAACTAGTGTATAAGCTAAAAAGAGCCAAAATACTAATGTTGTTAGCCTAAATGCTGTCAGTAGCATGTGGGGTATCACTAGCATGATGTCTTTCATTGACTTTCTCCATTCAGTATATTAAACATGGCTAATACATAAACACAGCTAAAATGCTTATTTTGGGGAGAAGGGTAATGCTAGCTAGTGCATTGCTTTGCTCCACAAGGCAGTGCACTAGCAGGGGAAGTGCACTGCTAATGTTTCTGCTAACATGTAGAACAATAGGTGCTTCCATGCATTGGTATGGCAGGCCCCAATTAGACAGCTGATGTTTTAACATCTTTACAACTCTTAGTATGTTTAATAGCTGCTAAAAGGTTTAATTTTCTAAAGGTGCTATTAATCTGATGAGCCATATCAGGACGTATATCCTAATTCATTGAGTCAGGCTGTATGGCATTCACATTTCAGTTTTCACTATCGATATTAGCTGGCATTAAATACTGTACCGACTTTTACGAGGCAGAGAATAATGAAGAGGAGTCTTAATTTTATCAAAGAGATAAAGCTTTATTTATATTTAGGAATTGTAAAATGTTTTAAGAGAGACTCGATTTGGCAGCCACTGAGAACCGACATCCAAGGCCTGCTCAGGCCGGGTTTCTCCTCCAGAACCGCTGCAGAAATAGAAACCCACACATGCTATCGCAACCCAAACGGACCTGAAACTGAAACTGTCTAAATTGCTCCACAGCAAAACACCACAAAGGGAGGAAGAGGACCGGCCCCTCTGCTCTGATGCAGCTCCTTCTGGCCGTCAGACCGGTCCCATGAGTTAAAAACAGTCAACAGCTACAAAAGAGATCACAAAGGGTTTTTAAAAGACCATTGAGCTACCAGTCTGATGACAAGACCCCCCCTGGAGTTCAAGTGAATAACGACCCCCCTCTGTTGGATGGGTCACTGGAGCACGCCTCAGTCAGGTGGGTTAACTGCGGCTCCAAGGGCTCATCTGAGCCCCGGCCCCTAACTGCCTCTCCTCCTGCACCAGGAACTGCAGCGCTGCTCCAACCTGGTGCCACACAGAACAAGAAATGAGTCCGTCAGGTGAACCCGGGTGCTGCTCATCAGCTCCTCACTTCAGCAGCAACTGTTCCTGCTCACCACAATAGTGGACATAAATACAGAATAGTAATATTATATTCACAAAATATAAACGATAATAGTCCATCTTTCTTGTGAAACGTTATCCCCCCCGAGTCCTCAGGTCAATAGTCCGTCGATGTGAACAACAATATGCCGCAGTGCTGAGTAGGAGGGCACCGATTTATCGGTGCCGATTTTCTTAATTTTGGAAGATCAGTGATCAGCCGATTTTTACATGTTAAGTGGATCTTATCCGCTGATCCCGTCTAGCTTGGCAAAGGTCTAAGATTCAACCACTGTCCTCTTCTGCTGCCTGGTGAGAGAGGTTTGACTAGCAGACCGGTGCTCCAAGTTATGTCTGCACGTCTTTAATTAACACTCAGCCCGCTGTTGCCAACTCAACAACTTTCTGGCTTTGAGCAACTTTTCAGACAAAAAAGTTGGAATCGGCAGGTTAAGCTTTTTAACACATCAGTAATCTCTGATCAACCAGAAAGCTGCAATCGGTGCCTCACCCCTAGCGCTGAGGCATCTTCTGCTGTTAGCTTAGCCAAGTAGGAGGGATGACCGCTCCAAGATGGCCGCCATATTTCTGAGTGCTCCTGAACCTGATCCACATGGTTCTCTAGAGAACTGCTGGTCCTGGTTCGGGTTCTGGTCCTGGTCTTGGTTCTGGTTCTGGTCCTGGTTCTGGTTCTGGTCCTGGTTTTGGTTCTGGTCCTGGTCCGGGTTCTGGTCCTGGTCCTGGTCCTGGTCCTGGTCCTGGTCCAGGTTCTGGTCCTGGTCCGGCCCAGGCCGGTGTTCTGTCAGTGAGCAGTCAGTTACTTGCACAAGATCCGACGAAAATGACTCAGTAAATTGTTAATAGCTAGATGGGTGTTCCTGCGTTGTCATGGTTTCCAAGTGTATTTAAAGCTGCAGTCGGCTGTAAAACCCCTCCCTGTTCCTGGATGATTGTCCGACCGGATAGCGGCTAAGTCAGGCTGCTAATAACGAAGTTTATGACGATCTGACTTCTATGTAGCTGATTGATCACAGCTTTACTTGTCTGACGGATGTCTCTGCAGCGATCCGACAGAAAGCCCCCTGCTGAGCCGACCCACCTGAACATGGAGGCCTCTGCCAGCAGGGGGAGCTGTTGATCTGCTGATGAAGGAACTCCTCTTCCTCATGGCTTTGATGTTGATGGTGATGAAGAGGAGAGCAGAGCTGCTGGCTGGAGACGCTGAGGAGGACGCTGGATGAGCCGGCGTCCTCGTGCCGGCCCAGGTCCTGGTCGTCTCCATGGCGATGCTGTGTGGTGGTACCTTACCGGCCTGGAGGGCTGCAGAGACCCCGGACCGGCACAGCTCAGCCCCGGTCAGCCACACACTGAGACCACCAGCTCTCTGACCCATCTGCTTTCTGTGGGTAAGTCTGAAGAGGTCAGAACCAGTACTTCTGGGTCAGAACCGGTACCTCTGTAGGGAGGATTCTGTGGCCGGTCGGACCTTGAGGGTCTGTTTGCTCCATGAACCTTCAGTTTCCCTCAGTGAAATTTGAAATGTTGACCGTCACATTTCTCCTCCTCTTGGTTCGGAGACGTTGGACTGAAATTATTCCCAACATAATTTAGATGAGTTGCTGTTTTTATTGCGGTGTGTTTTTGTCATGAAGTGGTGTGGCTGAGGTGAGGATGAGAACGCAGGTAGACCCAGGAAGTGATGGAAATGATGAGTTTAATGATAATAATCCAAGCACAGAACAACGGAGAACAGCACGGGGAAACGGACATCACACGACGAGGATCCGACAAGAGACAAGGACAACAGGTGGGTTTAAATACACACGGGGTGATGAAGGGGACGAGACACAGGGAGCAAACTGAACACAAAAAACTCCAAAAACAATTACACAGAAACACGATCATGACAGTTTTCTGCTGAGTCAGGTCTGATATTCACAAAATAACTATTGGATTTATTTATGACACTCTTCTTATTGCTAATATTCTGATTATTAGTTATAAAATGCTGTGGATAATTGTTGCTGTTAGAAGTTTCCTGATAATATTTAAAATGTTCCATGTCGCCTTAGTATTATTTTTATTACTATCTAATAATTTATAATATTCCTTTTTACATGCCTTTATAATATCATATTATATTTATATTTCTTATGCTTGTTTTCTGATTCAGTAGTTTTATAAATTTCCTTTAAAGATTGTTTTTCTTATTTCATACATTTTCTGTTCCTTTTATAATCCGCTGCTCATTTTTCTGCTTTTCCTCCTAATTTCCTTAACTGCCCAGTTTTATCTTATAGTAATTTTAATATTCTTCAAATCCTTCANGACGTCCCGACCCCTGACGTCCCGACCCCTGACGTCCCGACCTCTGACGTCCCGACCTCTGACGTCCCGACCTCTGCGCAGTGGGCGAGAAGCAGCCGACCATCTTGAAGTGGCGCATCCTGACGACCACCGGTGACCTGGAGCGCGTCTCCGCTGTGGCGCTGCCCAAGCTGCCCATCTCCATCTCCAACACTGACCTGAAGGTGGCATCAGACACCAAGTTCTGCCCCGGCTTGGGTGAGGAAACGGCGGACCCTGGACTCGTCCTCAGCCCGGCCCTCTGTGACCTGGTCGGGTTCTGGTTCTGGTTGCAGGTCTGGCCCTGGCATTCCACGACGGTAGCATCCAGATCCTGCACCGCCTGTCCCTCCACACCATGGGCGTGTTCTATGGCGCTGCCCAGCGGCCCGGGGACGACGCTGCCATCAAGCGCCCGCGTACCACTGGCCCCGCCCTCCACTTCAAGGCGCTGCAGTTCTCCTGGACCTCGCTGGCGCTGGCCGGGGTGGACGGCCACGGAAAGGTGAGGCCCGTCTCAGTCTGTTTGCACGTGAGGCTGAATCTCTTCAGAGGAAACCTTTAATCCTGCTGTCTGTCCTCAGCTCCACATGCTGCGCGTGTCGCCCTCTATGGGCCAGGTGCTGGACATGAACACCACACTGCGACACCTGCTGTTCCTGCTGGAGTACTGCATGGTGACAGGCTATGACTGGTGGGATGTGCTGCTGCACGTGCAGCCCAGCATGGTGCACAACCTGGTGGAGAAGCTGCATGAGGAGTACATGCGGCAGAACCAGGCACTGCAGCAGGTCAGCACTGCATGGCCGCCGCCGCCGCCATGCACCCTCTCTCCGCTAATCTCTGATCTCTGCAGGTTCTGGCCACGCGCATCGTAGCCGTCAAGGCGTCTCTCTGCAAACTCTCCACGGCGACGGCAGCGCGGGCGTGCGACTTTCACGCCAAGTTGCTGCTCATCGCTATCAGCTCCACCCTGAAGTCCCTGCTACGTCCACACGTCCTCAACACGCCGGACAAGAGTCCAGGCGACCGGCTGACTGAGATCTGCGCCAAGAACACCGACACAGGTAAGAGCCAGGTGAGCGGCCGCATGGCTGGGCGAACGGCGTCTGACCTGGGCGGTGTGTGTCCTCAGACATCGATAAGGTGATGATCAACCTGAAGACAGAGGAGTTCGTCCTGGACGGCCCCCCCCTGCAGTCCCTGCAGCAGCTCATCCAGTGGGTGGGAGACTTCGTCCTCTACCTGCTGGCCAACCTGCCCAACCAGGTGAGCCAGGTGGGTGACCTCACGGCGGCTTAGCCTGCAGCCGCCTCATCCAGCCAAGGTGAGAGCCGTTGACCCCTGACCTGTCATCCCGCAGGGCTCGGCGGTGCGGCCTGGGTTCGGCTTCATGAGAGACGGGGCGTCGCTGGGAATGCTGCGGGAGATGCTGGTGATGATCCGGATCTGGGGCCTGCTGAAGCCCGGCTGCCTGCCCACCTTCACCGCCATGTCGGACAACCAGGACAGCATGCAGCTGCTGTTCCGGCTGCTCACCAAGCTGTGGCTGTGCTGTAAGGCGCCGCAACACCACACCTCGCTTGCTAGCGCAGCACGCAGCTGCAGCATGTCTCTCTGATATGTATGACTGTAACATGGAGGGCAGGTGGTGCATTCAGGGGTCTTGGGGAAAGCAAAGCTTCAGTGGTCTTATGAGTCGTTTTACATAAATCAGATGTTATGGTTTCAATGACGGGCACCTGACGCTAAGCCCCGCCTCCTGTCCCCTGATTGGCAGCGCGGGACGACGGCCCCCCCCAGGAACCCGACGAGAGCCTGATAGACGAGTGCTGCCTGCTGCCCAGTCAGCTGCTGGTTCCCAGTATGGACTGGCTCCCAGTGAACGACGGCATCATCGTGAAGCTGCAAGGGAAGCTGCCGCTGCGGCTGCAGTTTGGGAAAGCCTCGTCGCTGCAGGGGGTGGGAGTCTCCGCCCCCCTGGATGTGTTCACCAGGTAAACCTCACCCCTGCCCGTTGCAGCACAGGGCTCTGGCTGCAGGTGAGCTCACCTGTGTTTGTGTTCAGGAGTCCTGGAGCTCAGAAGATGGACAACCTGCGCTGCATTCACATGGGTGTCAGCCCCACCGAGGAGAGCAAGGCCTGCACTAGGTGAGTCCACAGGAAGTGATGTCATTGCAACACCCAATCACTTGGAGCCCCGGTAACCTGTGACACACCGCCCCCTACAGGTGTGGCTGCGTGACAATGCTTCGCTCCCCCAACAAGACGAACGCCATGAAGCAGTGGGAGCAGCGCTGGATCAAGAACTGCCTGTGTGGAGGTCTGTGGAGGAGGATGCCGCCCACCTTCACCTGAACGCACCTGGCCAGGCGTGGCCAGGTAGCCATGAAGATGTCTGAAGGAAGCTCCTGCTTCCTCTGTTTGCTGCAGAGAGGCTGCAGCGCCCCCTGTATTCTGTAAATAAAACCTGTTTTCTAATAAAAGCATCAAACTTCTTCAGCTCCGTCATCTCAGTGAAGGTTAGGAACGCAGCCATGCTAGCAGCAGGCGCCATGCTACTAGCAACAGGGTCTACTATATCTAGCAATGGGGTTAGGCCACCTAGAAATGTGGTTAGCTGCCTAGCAACATTGTCTATCACCTAGCAACGGGCTTATACACCTAGCAACAGGTCAACCAAACTTATCAATGGGGCTAGCCACCTAGCAACAGAGTTGACCACCTAGCAACGACTTACAACACCTGGCAACGGGGTCAATTACCAGAATCTACTCCTCCCACTCAAGAGTTCTGCTGTAAGCAGGTCAGCTGGTTCTGGTCCAGATGAGGCATCAGACTAGTGTTCCATAGACTTCCATATAAAGCCCAACCCAGCCAACAGGTGGGGGAACCTGGACCACCATCTTAGAACCACAGACGGAACCAATACAGATCTGTTCAGAGCACCAACAGAACCGGGCCGGTCCACACAGAAAGAACTCAACTGGGGGTTTGGGTCAGAACCACCAGAACCGTCATGTTCTGCTGATCAGCTGCAGTGTTTCACGGAACAGACGGGGGGCGCTCTTTCTCCTCTCTCTTTTCTGTCTCTTTTCTCTCCCACCCGCACGCGCAGCTCGCCCCCGCCGCGCCGCCGCATCGCCCGCAGACAGAAAGACGTTCACGGATCTGCGGAAGCTGCAGAGGAACGTTGTCCGAACCAGAGCCGGATGGGTTTGGATCGGAACCAGAGCCAGCAGCAGCCGAACTAACTGGACCGCAGCCAGCAGCTCTGCGGGAACGTACGGTACCGGGAGAGAGACAACCTGAACAGGTCCGGGATCTAAGGTGAGACCGAACCGTTCTGCTGCGTGCACACGTGTGTTTATCTGTGCATGTGCACGCGCTGCAAGCAGAACGTTCCTGGTCCAGATGAACCGGTTTGCAGGAACACCTGTCTCACCTGCCTGTCTGCCTGTCCGGACGGGTTCTGGGTTCTGATTGGTCGGAGTGTCGTAGCGCGGGGGAGGATGAGGATGATGAAGCCTCCCGCTCCCTTCGTGTCTAGCTCAGTGATTACTGATTGGATCTGTCCTGCAGAATCTCTGACCCGGTCCACAGCGCCGCTGATCCAGAACCAGTGTGGTTGCGGCCGATCTCACCAGATCAAACAGTTGAAGGTGGGACCGACGCGGTCCGGTTGGGTCCGGTCTAAACACACAAAGAAGCTGTAGCAGTCTGAGAAGAAAAGAACTGGATCCAAACAGCACCGAACCCAGAACCAGAACCCTTCCTGTGTTTGGTGTTGATTTGTCTGGATGCGATCGGGCCCAGCAGGTCCATGTTGGACTGCAGGTGGTGACCCGGTTCTGGAGGGAGTTCTGGTTCTGGACTCCAGGTGTGTGTGACGCACAGCAGGAGAGAGAGCACCCAGTAGCAGCATGACCCCAAAGAAAGTTTTAGAGCCCAAACATCTCTCTGTGTGTGTGTGTGTGTGTGTGTGTGTGTGTGTGTGTGTGTGTGTGTGTGTGTGTGTGCGCGTGTTCCAGGTTCATGAGGATGATGATGATGATGAGCTCCTCGACCACAGAGAAGATGAAGAAGAAGGCTCCCAAGGATAGTCTGACTCTCCTGCCATGTTTCTACTTTGTCGAGGTCAGAGGTCACCCAGGGATAAAGATAGAGCTAAATTATTGAAAACTATGAACATCAGTTAGAGAAACTTAAATATCTATACTAACATGACCTGTGCAGACAGAAACAATCGATCTCAGGATCACAGATTGTCTTTAACCATCAAAGTTTTTAGAGAGATCTGACGTTCAATAAACATTTCATAATTATCTTCATGAGATTTTCCTGATTTGCTCTTTTTGACCCAGGACTTTGATGAGTTGACGGTCCAGAAGTTGCAGAGAGGTTCCGCTTCCAGAACCTCGCTGCAACTTCTGGACCAGAAGGGAACTTGACTGTGTGTGTTCTGGTGGCAGCTGCCCATCGTGGCTTCTTCTATGGTGTCACTGTACTTCCTGGAGCTGACGGACGCGGTGCAGCCGGCCCAGGCGGGATTCCGCTGCGGCGACCGGGCCCTCAGCATGCCATACGTAGACGGAGGAGACGAGCTGATCCCGCTGCTGATGCTGCTGAGCCTCGCCTTCGCCGGCCCGGCCGCCTCGGTACGAGGCCATGCCCACCCAGCGACCTCACAGACCAAGAACCTGACCCGGGTCAGCTAAGGTGTGTTTGTTTTGTGTGTCAGATCATGCTGGTGGAGGCGGCGGTTTACTGCCTGCAGCCTCGCCTGAAGATCCACCGAGCCGAAGGAAGCATCAACGCCGGCGGCTGCAGCTTCAACTCCTTCCTGAGGAGAACCGTTCGCTTCGTAGGTAGGACCCTCACCTGACTGCCTCACCTCTCTAAATGTCCACCTGTCCACCTGTCTGTCTTTCTACCTGTTCCAGGTGTTCATGTGTTTGGGCTCTGTGCGACAGCACTGCTCACTGACATCATCCAGCTGGCGACGGGTTACCACGCCCCGTTCTTCCTCACCGTCTGTAAGCCCAACTACACACTGGCCGGCGGGTCATGTGACCAAAACGCTTACATCACCAGAGACATTTGCTCCGGTCATGACCAGCATGCCATCATGGCGGCCAGGTGCGGCGTGTCCTCCTGTCCGTGTCGCGTTCTCCAGGTAGAGGCTGATTGTTGATGTCTCTCTGGCAGGAGGACGTTTCCTTCCCAGCATGCAACTCTGTCGGCCTTCGCCGCCGTTTACGTCTCGGTGAGCGACGAACCATCTAAAGCCTGTCCTCCCAGTTCCATCTCCAAAGGTTGACTGGTCCTGTTCGTGTGTCTCCCCTTTTACCCCCCAGATGTACTTTAACTCCACCATCTCCGACTCCACCAAGCTGCTGAAGCCGGTCCTGGTCTTTGCATTTGCCATGGCGGCGGCGCTGACAGGCCTCACTCAGATCACGCAGCATCGCAGCCATCCCGTCGACGTCTATGTGGGATTCCTGATCGGCGCCTTCATTGCTGCATATCTGGTGAGACCCCACATATGTGAGATCAGCTGCAGTTGCCTTGGCAACTTCACCAGGAGGCTCGGTGCAGCGCTGCGTAGGCGACAGGTCTTCAGGTGTTTTAAAGTTAGACACCTGAAGCGTCTCCACCTGTCTGCCTGGGACTGTTTCCTGTTCTGACGCGCTGCTCCTGTTCCCATTCTCCAGGCGCTTCATGCCGTCGCCAACTTCAGGTCTTCTGATGAGTGCACTCAGGCTCCGTCCCCTCCCCTGCCGGTGGAGGACCCTCTGCGGGCGCTGACAGAGCGCGGACACGATTCGGTGTACAACAAGGGTCCCGCCTCGGCCTCAGAGAGCAACGATGAGATTGCAGCGGCGCCAGCCCCTCTGGAGCGCCTGGAGGGCCTGGGGCCGCTGCAGAGGGAGCAGGGCTCCATGGAGGGCCTGAAGAGGGCCAGCGTAGACGTGGAGCTGCTGGCTCCTCGGAGCCCCATGGGGAAGGAGACCATGCTGACCTTCAGCAACACCCTGCCCAGAACAAGTGTGAACATCAACGGCCCTCTGGGTGCCAGCGAGGCACCAGGGGCCCAGGGAGCGGCGGTGCAGCGGCGGCTGAAGGCGGTGCAGGTCCCGGTGGACCCCATGAGGTCCCAGCAGCTGGTGTCCGAGTGGAAGCAGAAGTCCATGGAGATGCGCGGCTCAGGGCCTCGTGAGGACGGGGACCACGAGCCCAGTGAGGATGGCTCCGAGGCGAGCTCTATGGGGACGGACGATGCCGGTTCTCAGGCGCCCATCTGCCAACCTTCGGTGCACTGCATGAGGGTAGGCTCAGGTCGCAACCCCACCCCTCCTCCAGGTGGTGCCAAAGCTGTGGCAACGCCCAGACCGCCTCAGATCCCTGAAGCTGGACCCCCACCAGTGTCTCCAAAGAGCGCCTTGACCAGGGCTAAGTGGCTCGCCATCCGGGAGAAGACCAGCGGGGAGGCTGCTGGCCGCGGCAGTGTCAGCCAGCCACGCCTCATGCAGGTCATTGCCTTGTCCAAGCAGCAGGGTCTGCTTCCCTCCTCCTCCTCCGAGAGCGCCTCCACTGGCTCCGCTGCCTCCTCCAACACGGATTCCCCCCTCTGTCGCCAGCGAGACGGGCTGGGCATCGTCACCGTGGACGCCCACGCCCCCTATCATCCTGTTGTGCAAACTCCACCCCCTCCACAAGCCCCGCCCCTGGCCGGGAACGGAAGCCCTTGGGAGTGGGCCGCGGTATCCAATGGAGATGACCCACGAGAATCCTACGGCCTCAACAAGCTGACCAGGTTGGACCCGACGGCCCGTGCGAGCAGCTTCCGCCCACGCCGCTCCGCATCACCTGCCATTGACCCCGCCCAGCAGGCAGAGATGGCGGCGGATGCTCAGCGTAGGGAAATGGCCATGAGACGCAAAACGGCGTTAGTTCTACTGGATCGAGAAATCCGCAACCAGACTGAACAAGAAAACTACTACAAGAGTTTACAGGGTCGGAGGTTCAAGGACCAACCGTAACCCCGAGACACCTGGACCAGACCTGGACGGGACAGAGACACCTGGAGGGGACAAAGACACCTGGAGGGGACAGATGGAGGGGACAAAGACACCTGGAGGGGACAGAGACACCTGGAGGGGACAAAGACACCTGGAGGGGACAGAGACACCTAAGGGGGACAGAGACACCTAGAGGGGACAGAGACACCTGGACAGAACAGAGACACCTTGGTTTTGGGCCATTTTAGCAACAATAAAGCTAACGGAGCCCCTGAGCTAATAACCTGACAGAATTGCAGCAAAGTTTTTAGTTAATAAAAACATATTTGTCCAATAATGAGATTATAAAGGAATCATGAAGACATGAGCTACCAGCTGCTCTTGGTTGGCTGTTTGGTTCTGAGTGAAACGTTTCCTCCTCGCATGAAACTGACAACCTGTTTGAACGTTAGCATGGGTTGCTATATTAGCAGCTGTACTGAAGAACGTTTTTTTTTTTTTGCCAGCAGGGAATAAATTATTAATGTTGGCAGCAAAATGTTTCAATGTTATGGACTCGACACAGAAACGTATTTGCAATATTGGAAAGGGATTTTGGGTTACTGCAGTGTTTCTCTATTCCGGTCCTCACGCCCCTGCTCTCCATGTTTTAGGCATTTCCCTTTTGCCACACCTGGATTGTATCTCTGGGTGATTAACAGGCTTCTGAAGTACTTGATGTTCATGCAATCATTTGAATCAGCTGCTCTGGACTAGAGGGACATCTAAAACATGCAGAGCAGGGGGGCTGAGGACTGGAATTGAGAAGCACTGGGTTACTGGAACCAGACGCAGCTGACCTTCAGGGTCAGCGGGGTCGCATTAGCCTCCCTGCTACAGCAACAGCTTTGTTTCTCTCAGTGTGCCAACAGGAAGTGATGTCAGCAAGGTTGGATCTGTTAGCTTTACTGCAGTTAAAGTGGCAAATTGGTGGCTTTATTGCCCTGGTCGCCTTGGTGACGGTATAACATCTGGACATGATATTGGACTTTTCACCCACAGAAATGCCCATCAACAGTGTCTGAGGTCAAAGGTCACATCCAGAAATTTAAACGATTTCCTCTGGAAGCGCAGTAAACCAGAACTCTGGATCCAAATGATGAGTAGCTTAAAGCTGCAGTTTGTAACTTTAATAAAATGTTGTTTTTTCTGTTTTTGTTCAAAGTGTCATCAGATAATCTCTGCCTGCTCCCAGTGCTAACTACAGAATACACAACTCATTTAGAAACTACTAATCAGAGCCAGGAGGTGGGTGTTAGCACTGTCAATCACACTTGTGTATGAACTACAACAGAGCTGGCCATCAATGCAAGCTAGCAGCTAGCATAGCCACCATGATACTATTAATTTAGGTTAAGTTTATTTGACATTAGGCTGTTTGGCACAAGAGAGGGTGTGAGCAAGTGCGTTCATGAGCCTGATTGGCAGCGCTAAGACCCTCCTTCTGGCTCTCATTGGTTGTTTGAGCAGTAGTGGTGCATATCTGCAGATGGCAGTGGGACCACAGGGAGAAGCTCATCGGTGTTACTGTGTGGAAAAGTTTTGCTGCAGCTTTAAAGCTCCTGCTGTGATCCCTCACCTGCCTGGATGTGTCTGTTGCCATGGCAACAGACACCAGGGAGAAATTTTCCTTCAACTCCACACATAAATTCAAACACATTCATAAAAAAATCATGATGTCACCATGGTAACAACTTTGTTGCCAGGGCGACGGCTCGGTCGCTACGGTAACGTCTGGTTGTGGTAATGCGCTCGGTGCCGGATGTCGATTGGCTGCCGGCCTGAGTCACGTGACTGTCGTTCTCTAGTGATTTATTGTGAAGCTGCTTTTGTCAGCGGGGCTCCGATCGTCCACCTGTTCGTCTGCACCTACCTGAGGACAGGTGGACAGGCTGTCCCTGCTGCTGCATGTGATCTCATCCTGTTGCCATCTGTAAAGCCATGTGTGAGGATGATGATGCTGCATGCTTTGTTCTCTCCATGATGAAGAGTCACAATAAAAACGTTCTTCCAGCCTGAAGGCGCCTCATTCACCGCAACACGCAGCGTTACTGCAGCTGGTCTAGATCAGAAGATATAGAGCAACAGATCTAGAGCAGGTGATCTAGAACAGCTGATCTACAGCAGCAGACTTCCAGCGAGCGGTAACCCATGGTAACCTGCTCAGAGCTCATTCTGTAAGTCGCCTGTCAGACAGTGCTCAGGGTTAATCAAGCCGCTCTGTCATTTATAGGTCACTACTCCCAATAACTGCGTTAAAAACTTCCGATCAGTCCGAATTCAGGAATAACGATCCCCGCCGCCTGTCAGGCAGCGCTCAGGGCACACGACGCACTTTCCGCAGCTAGGACCCGTACTTCCGGCTCTGGTTCGGCAATACCAGCGGCCGTTAGCTGTAGCTGCTGCTCGGAGCGGATCTCATCTCCCGGATTTTCTGAGCGGCTCCCCGGCCGACCCTGCCCTTTGAATCCACCTGAAGCCGCTCCGCTGTCGGTTCCGAGCCGCCAGCCGAACGCTAACGCGGGGCTTTGTCGAGCTTCAGGTCCGGTCCTTCCAGTTAGCATCAAGCTAACAGCTAGCTTCCTGCCGATGAAAACATCGCGAGGAAAACTTCGCTGACAGGTGAGTCTGACGCACCTACAGGTCTCCTTTCTGACCTGGCAGAGGGCTTACAACCCCTAACAGCCAGCAGTGAGGCCTGACGTTGTTCCTCAGCATTTACTGCCCCTCGCACACCTGAACAGAAGATGCTGAGGAACACCTGAATTCCTGACCTGATGGAACAACGTCCCGATTCTAAACATTGGTAGCTTCTAAAGATCTACAATCAGCTTCCAGGCCACGCCCACATTCTGCCCCTCACCAGCGCAATCAGCCAGCCCATCACTTGTTTCATGGTCACCATAGCAACCAGAAAATTACATCAAGGCACACATTAACGTGAGGTGGAGAGTCGCCACGGTAACGACGAGATGAACCAGTCTGTGTCAGAGGTCATTCATCCAGAAGCAGTCTGGGTCAGTCTGTTCAGGATTTGGATTTCCGGTTCAGGTTTATTTTTTTGCACCAGCTGAAAAATATAAAATGTGATAAAAGCATCAAAGCTAACCAGAGCCGGAATCCTGACCAGGTTCTGGCACTGAGGGCCAGTCAGTAAATAACTGCGCTGTGTTTGAACCTTCCAGGTGGATCCGGCTTCCGGGTCGGTCTTGCTGGAACTGGATCTGAGTCACCTTCATGAAGCGGACCAGAACCATGCTGACCTAGGAACGGGTTTGGGAGCACCAGAGTCCTGCAGCGGCCGCCGCCATGTCGGAGAACCAGGCCAACAACAACGTTCCTCTGAACAACAACATGGGGCCCAACCGGATCCGGAACCCCAACATCAACCAGAACCCGCTCATCAATGTGCGCGACCGCCTCTTCCACGCCCTCTTCTTCAAGATGGCCGTCACCTACGCCCGGCTCTTCCCGCCGTCCTTCAGGAGAGTCTTTGAGTTCTTCGTCCTGCTGAAGGTGAGATGTCCCACCTGGCCTGGACTGGGTTGGGAGGTTCCCGCTGGCTGCAGCAGCTCACCTGGTTCTGATCTGGTTCTGGAACGACAGCTTTCTAAAGCTACATCCTGCAGTTACACAGTTTGACTTGTAGGTATCAGACAGGAGCTGGCCTGAGCTGAAACTGTCCGTTTGTCTCTGTAGCTGTTATGAGCTTCGGACACATTCTAATTATTTTTGCTTATTTTTTGTTGTTTTCTTTAAAGACTTTAGTAAAATGATTTCCTCTGTTCCTTCTGGAGTTTAGATAATCTCCTGTTTTCTGATTAACATCTGATGACTTTGAGGCTGGCGCTGTTCTTCGCCCACCTGTAAAGAGGCTGGCCTTCGGGAGTGTGTGGATCCACCTCTCACTTTTCCGCTCTCCCACCACTGGGGGCGTCCCGCCGATAGGCACACAGCCAGCGGGTGCAGGCCAAGCAGTAACTTTTGTTAGCCTTTGGTTTTTTTGTTGTGATTTTGGCCTGCTAAGACTGTCCTGTTCTCGCTTCTATCTATTGCAGTAGGTTCTTTTTGGAATATTTGCTTTGGTCCGGTATTAGCAGGGGCTTTGTGGCTCCGGTAACCTAAATTTGTTTTTTTCTTCCGCAAAAGTTAAAAGCAGCTGAACAAAATAAAGATTCAAGAAAAAGGGTTAAAAAAAAAAGAATCTTTGAATCCTAACTCTTGAATCCCAGCCATCTCCCAGACTTCTCCCAGCCGTCTCCCGGACATCTCCCAGCCATCTCCCAGACGTCTCCAAGTCATCTCCCTGCCATCTCCCAGACGTCTCCCAGACATCTCCCAGCCATCTCCCAGATGTCTCCCGGACATCCCAGCCGTCTCCCAGACGTCTCCTGGACATCCCAGCCGTCTCCCGGACATCTCCCAGACGTCTCCCGGACATCTCTCAGACGTTTCCCAGAGGTCTCCCGGACATCTCCCAGACGTCTCCCGGACATCTCCCAGACGTCTCCCGGATGTCTCCCGGATATCTCCCAGACGTCTCCCGGACACCTCCCAGACGTCTCCCGGAGATCCCAGCAGTCTCCCGGACGTCTCCCAGCCATCTCCCGGACATCTCCCAGACGTCTCCTGGACATCTCCCAGACGTCTCCTGGACATCTCCCAGACGTCTCCTGGACATCTCCCAGACGTCTCCTGGACATCTCCCAGACGTCTCCTGGACATCTCCCAGACGTCTCCGGACATCTCCCGGACATCTCCCAGACGTCTCCCGGACATCTCCCAGACGTCTCTCAGACGTCTCCGGACATCTCCCAGACGTCTCCCGGACATCTCCCAGACGTCTCCCGGACATCTCCCAGACGTCTCCCGGACGTCTCCCGGACATCTCCCAGACGTCTCTCAGACGTCTCCTGGACATCCCAGCGGTCTCCCGGACATCTCTCAGACGTCTCCCGGACGTCTCCCGGACATCTCTCAGACGTCTCCCGGACGTCTCCCATCCATCTCTCAGACGTCTCCCGGACGTCTCCCATCCATCTCTCAGACGTCTCCCGGACGTCTC